GAATCAGACCTGACAGCCTGACACCCCCAGAGCCCGCGAATTGTTTGAGTGTTTCTTCTTGAAGGGTCTTGACTAACCAACACTCATTGCTCGTCAGGGGGTTTTGCGCAGGAAGATTTAGGGCCTGACTTGTTTCTATTTTGGTGCCAGTACAAGCTTAACGTTCGCCGAATTTCTTGCTAAAATACATTGCCAAGCAACGGGTTCGAGGGATGCTTGGGTCCAGCAACACAGGATGCCCCTTCCACTCCTCATGGCAAACGACGTGCTCCCAGAACTGTTTGATCTCTAGACCAGTGCGGCCACCAGTCATTGATAGGCTGAACTGCGCAGGGTCATGGTTTTGCATATTGAACTCAGGGCTTGTTACATTGTTGGCAATGACTAAAAACCCCGTAGGGTTCAAAGCAACAAGGGTCCGCAGGGTCGCTCCCTGCCTGCCATTCGCTGGCTTCAGCAATGGCATGAAGCAGTTCGTGGGGTAGGAGGAAAGGCAGTTCTTTCTCGTGAAGACCAGTCTGGTTGGATTCCTGAGTTCTGAAATTCCAATACTGGCAAGTTGCGGGGAAAGGGGAACAAAACAGATTCACAACCGTTGGTTATGCCCTGGCTCTTGCGCTTGAACAGTGATGCAATAGGTCTCGAGGCGTAGGCCATAGAGCTTTTTCATCCAGTTGTGAAGGTCCCTCTCGCTGTTCTGCGGATTTGCCCCAGAGGTTCCCAAACTTGCGAAAGCCCGAATAGCCGCTGGGGGAACATTGCCAGAGCAGTCCTGCAGGTTTGCCCTCGCAAGCTCCGCAATCATTGTCACCGACGCTCTGCCATCGCCGATCATTCCTCAGATGGGCAAGATCGTTCTTTCGCGCGTTATGGGTCTTCAAAACAGGGTTTTCAGCAGTGTTTCCAGAAAGGTTTGTATCCAAATGTGTCCCCACATGCGTTTCCAGAAATGATTCGAAACATGATTGGTTTTCAACCCTTGTGGCAGCCCTTTTGGAATCCTTGTGGGAACCCACTTGCAGAAACCCTTTTGAACAAATGTTGCTTTGGATCGCCTGGAAAGGTGGACACATGATTGAATTGAAACCTGGAAACACATTTGAATTTAGAAATCCGGTCATTTGTGACAATCTGGAGGCAAGTTCCCTTGTGAGTTCCTCTGGGAACCCTTCAAGAAACTGCAGTCAGAAATCCTTCTTGCAACCCTCGTCTTTCTTTCCATGTGCACTAAAATCAGCCAAATCAACCATGGTTCCAAATGGCAAAAACTGGCCAGAGGCTCCTATGATGTTGACATGATCGAAGCAACAGGTTTGCAAAAGGGTTTCCACACCACTTTATTGCGGCTTCGAGCAACAGCTACCGAAGGCCCAAGACTCGAACGTAGCGCTTGGCTGTCTGGTTGTTTGGCATGTCCTCAAACTTGGCGCCGCGGTACCTCTGACAACGAGGAGCAAGGTTCTTGTTTCATGGTGTTTGCAAACTGGGCGCACGATCGCCGGCCATTCTTGGTTGGGCTCCACTTGTTATGACCTCGGGCGTCAACGAAGGTAACTTCCGTAATTGCAAAAAAATAAGCAAGCAGCAAGGGTGCTTGAATAAGGACCTCAAAAAAGATGTCGTCATGTTGTCATGCCGGTTTCCCTCTCAAATATCCTTCAAGTGTGCGTGTCTGTTTTGAGGACACTTTGGAGGGATCTTGAAGGGGCATAACTAAAAAAGGAACCCAAGCGTGGCTCAATTTGAGCTCCAACTCCAACGCGCCGCTTTCTTCTTTAAAGCTGTGTTTGATCACAGTGATGTTTAAATCACCAACTCCCCAAACGCTAGCAGCGTAGGCAGCGCAGGCCCTTTGTTGATGGGTTGCTTCAAACATGTTTTTCTCGTCCGGTTACCCTTGCTGTTTTCCAGAAGGGAAGCCCTCGCCACCATCTAGGCTGCTAGCCAAACCCCTGCAAGACGGCCACTACGCCTCAGGCTTTGCCTTCGCTGCGGCCTTCTTGCCCTTCGAGCTGGCCCTCCTGGAGGACAGCCCGCTCAAGAGCCCCTTCGCAGACGCCTGGGTTGGCCATCTTTACGCGTTTTCCCACCAGAAGGTTTTCAGTTAACCTTCAACAACGGCTTTCTCAAAGCACTTCAACAAGGAGGGGCAACTGTCAGTAGTCTAGTAGTTTGAAGAGGGGCCCAAAAAACTCAAACGCCCTCAACTGAACCCCTGCCTCAGCTTGTTTGTACCACTCTTCCTCGCGGCAAATGCCCTGGAGCACTTTCTCGTAGACATGTGGATTGTTTTCCTGCTTGGCTTTGAGCTCCTTGAGCTGCTTGAAGTAGGATTCCATTCGCGTGGAGAACCCCATGAGACCCTGAACCAGCTCCCCGCAGGTGTAGGGCAAACTTACGTGCCTCTGTTGCAGCTTTTAGGACATCATCGCTTTTGTCCATCGCCTGTTCCATGATGGTTTTTGGGACCATCTCAACTGTGTCTTCCGGTTTTGAAACCTTTGCTTTCTTCGGCGCTTTGGGAGGAGCCACGCAAGTCTCGTTAGTGAAGGCTTCGGCCAGGTTTTTTTGGCCCTCGGCACTGAGGCCAGACATGTCGGGCATGGCTCCCACGCATAGGGGGCCCCCAACATCTGTCAGGGCATTCACCAAACCCTCATCCGGCGCAGTGTTGTTCACGTTGAGGCTGAGGGATTCACTGGTTTCCGTGTCCTTGCGCACCTTGCCACCCTCTCCGATGTAAAAATAAATCTCCTGAAGTGGAGCCAGGCTTTTGGAAGGTGCTTCTCGTTTCTGCGGTTAGGGTGGTGTTTGGTTGCCCCTGGTCAGGGTATCAAAAAAAGCTTAGGGTAACCTTCTTCCTTGAAGCCAATTTCCTGGAAGGCGCCATGCTCAGGGTTATAGGAATGTTTGAGAAACCCAACTAGGCTTTGGGAGTCCACGATTCTTCTCACGGTAGGGCGGTTTATTACACTTGAAGGATGCTTGCAAAAACACCTCACATAAATCTCAGCGGTTAGCGCGTGGCGGGATGCTAGAAAATTGTAAAAACCACTTTGTGTCACCCCAGTCCTCCTCATCATTTGGGAAGTCTTCGTCCCATTCCCACATGCCAGACTGGCGCAACCGCGCGCAGAGAGTCTCGGTTTTCCTTGGCGAGCGGTGAATCAATGTTCCAAGCTGAGTGACACAGCCCTGAATGCAGAAACAAGCAAATCACTCAAAAGTGTGCCAGACAGTAGGCAAGCGTCTCTTTGCTATACAGCTTCTCTATCTCACGCCTTTTGGTCCCACATCGCTGCCGGGATTTTGTGCACGAGCTGCGCGTCCGGCGTTCGAAGTTCAGGGAAACCCTGGGGTGCGCAGATAGGATGCCAAATAACGATCGTTCTCTCTCGCTCTCTCTCTCTCTCTCTCTCTTCGTTTAAAATTTAGACAAAGACACAAAACACAGTTTACAACACAATAGCGTTCTACAACACAGTGCGCGTTCTACAACACAATAGCGCGTCTCTTTGCGCAGGTATGTCTCTATGACTGCACCTATGTTCGTTCATGTTTGTGCGGGCGTGTGAAAGTGAGTGAGTGCGTGCGTGCATGGGTGCGTGGGTGGGTGGGTGGGTGGGTGGGTGAGTGAGTGAGTGAATGAGAGAGGTGGGCAAGACAGAAGGAAGGCAAGAACGCAAGAAAGAAGGAAAGAAAGAAATCAAGAAAGAAAGACAGAAATAAATAAATAAAGACAAATAAATAAGGAAAACAAAAGCAGCGAAAGAAATAAATCTGATTAAAGCAAAGAAAGAAATCAATAAAGAATAAACAAAGAAGCAATAAATAAAGAATAAAGAAAGGAAGAAAGAGGGAAATAAATAAAACAAATAGAAATAATTAAATGAAGGACACCGATAAAGAAATAAACAACTAAATGTTGAAATAAATCATGGAACAACTAAAGACATGACAATAAACAAATACAAACATATCGAAAGAAATGAACAAACACAAAACAAGCACATCAAGTAAAACAAACAGAACGGAAGAAAAAGAGAAAGAGCAAGAGAAAGAGTGAGTGAGTGAGTGAGTGAGTGAGTGAGTGAGTGAGTGAGTGAGTGAGTGAGTGAGTGAGTGAGTGAGTGAGTGAGTGAGTGAGTGAGTGAGTGAGTGAGTGAGTGAGTGAGTGAGCGAGCGAGCGAGCGAGCGAGTGAGTGGGGTGGGTGGGTGAGTGAGTGAGTGAGTGAGTGAGTGGAGTGAGTGGAGTGAATGGAGTGAGTGGAGTGAGTGGAGCAAGTGGAGCGAGTGGAGGTGAGTGGGAGGGTGGGAGGGTGGGTGAGCGGGGAGCGAGGGGAGTGCAGCGGGAGTGAGTGAGCGAGCGAGTGAGTGAGAGCGTGTGAGTAGTGAGGTGTGAAGGTGCGAGAGTGTGAGGGAGTGAAGGTGTGAGGGTGTGAGGGCGTGAGTGAGTGAGTGAGTGAGTGAGTAAGTGAGTGAGTGAGTGAGTGAGTGAGTGAGTGAGTGAGTGGAGTGAGTGAGTGAGTGAGTGAGTGAGTTAGTGAGTGAGTGGGAGGGTGGGAGGGTGGGAGGGTGGGAGGGAGGGAGGGAGGGAGGGTGGGTGAGTGGGTGGGTGTGTGTGTGTATAGGTAAGTAGGCCATGTGTGAGCCGAGGCACTGCTCCCAGGATCCTCCAGCTTTAAGCCACTCTCGGAATAGGCACACCTTATCCTTCACATACACTGCTGCCAGGCTGGTAGGAAATTGTCGTCTGTCTAGACATTGACGGCTAAACTGGTCCCACTCCTTCTTGTGGCTTTTGCCTGGGCCGGGGCGTCGTGACGCTCGAAGGAACACCCTCATGATTTCGCTAAGGGTTTGATGCCCAAGCCCAATTTGCACAAGGGGCTTTTTTCCCAAACCTCGGAAAGCAAATGACGATTTAAAAACGGGACGACACACATGCACGCACGCTTAACTTGTATATATAGCTCGCCGTCCACACCGCTCGTAGCAGCCTAGGCGCTATTTGCCAGCTGGAACTTTGTTTCGTCCTCCGCCTGGGTGGCTGCCTTCACCAGCTGCGTGATCTGCGGGTTGCTGCCCTGGCTTGCCTGCGGCTTGATGGGCTCTTCGTCTGAGGAGCTCTCATCCTCATCGCCGTCAGCCTCGCTATCGCTCTTGCTCTTCGCTGCTTCCTGCTCCTCCTCGCTGCTGCTACTCACTGCTTCCGCGATCTCAGCTAGCTGAGCCGCGTCTGATTCGTCTTTTTCGCCAGCTGCCTCCTGCTCCTCGTCGCTACTCTCCTCATCGTTTTCTCCACCGTTCTCTCCGTCGTTCTCTTCACCATTCCTCTCCTCACTCTCCTCATCACTATCTCCTTCACTCTCTGCACCGTTCTGCGCGTCGCTCTCTCCCTCCTCCTCATGCCTTTCTCCTTCCCTATCTGCGCCATTCGCGCCGTTCTCCTCGTCGCTCAATCCATCCTCTCGGCCAACCTCTGCTTCAGTCTCCGCCATTAGGCTTCTCATGCGCGCCTCCACCTGCCTCTCCAAGTCCTCCGCGGAGAGACGCTGCAAGTAGGCTTCCAAGCTAAGTCCTAGGTCCTGCGCATGTTGCATAGCTTGTTGGAGGCTAGCCAGGTCGTCAGCGACGGAAGGTGAGGGGGAGCCCAGGCTGTCCTCAAAATACGTGCACTGGGACTCAATTTCACACCCGCGACTTGGGGTGGCTGGGGCAGAGCATTGCGAGCTTGAGGATTGGATGGGGGTCTCAGCGGCCTCCTTTGGCTTCTTCTCCTTGTCCTTGTTCTCCTTGTCCTTGTTCTTGTCCATGTGGATGGGGCTCTCAGCAGCCTCCTTTGGCTTCTTCTCCTTGTCCTTGTTCTTGTCCGCGTTGATGGGGGTCTCAGCGGCCTCCTTTGGCTTCTTCTCCTTGTCCTTGTTCTTGTCCGCGTTGATGGGGGTCTCAGCGGCCTCCTTTGGCTTCTTCTCCTTGTCCTTGTTCTTGTCCGCGTTGATGGGGGTCTCAGCGGCCTCCTTTGGCTTCTTCTTCTTGTCCGCGTTGATGGGGGTCTCAGCGGCCTCCTTTGGCTTCTTCTCCTTGTCCTTGTTCTTGTCCGCGTTGATGGGGGTCTCAGCGGCCTCCTTTGGCTTCTTCTTCTTGTCCGCGTTGATGGGGGTCTCAGCGGCCTCCTTTGGCTTCTTCTCCTTGTCCTTGTTCTTCTCCGTGTTGGGGGTCTGAGCGGCCTCCTTTGGCTTCTTCTCCTTGTCCTTGTTCTTGTCCGCGTTGGGGGTCTCAGCGGCCTCCTTTGGCTTCTTCTCCTTCTTCTTGTCCGTGTTGATGGGGGGCTGAGCGGCCTCCTTTGACTTCTTCTCCTTGTCCTTGCTCTTGTCCGTGTGGATGGGGGTCTCAGCGGCCTCCTTTGTCTTCTTCTCCTTCTTCTTGTCCGTGTTGATGGGGGTCTGAGCGGCCTCCTTTGACGTCTTCTCCTTGTCCTTGTTCTTGTCCGTGTGGATCTCCTTTGTCTTCTTCTCCTTCTTCTTGTCCGTGTTGATGGGGGTCTCAGCGGCCTCCTTATCCTCCTTTGGCTTCTTCTCCTTGTCCTTGTTCTTGTCCGTGTGGATGGGGGTCTCAGCGGCCTCCTTTGGCTTCTTCTCCTTGTTGTTCTTGTCCGCGTGGGTGGGGGTCTGAGCGGCCTCCTTTGGCTTCGTTTCCTTGCCCTTGTTCATGTCTGTGCGGATGGGGGTCTCAGCGGCCTCCTTTGGCTTCTTCTCCTTCTTGTCCTTGCTCTTGTCCATAGGGCTTTGCTGCTTCTTTGCTTTCTTTCCCTGTTGAGTGCCATGCTCCGCCTCGTTGCCTACGCCCTTTCTTTTTTGCGTGGACTTTTTGTCATCAAATGATACTTTTCGCTTCTTGGCTTCTGTGTCTTGGGTGTCTGGCTGGCGTCTCAAGACCCCCTTCCGGGGTTGGAGGATGCTCGCAGCAGCCTCCTTGTTTTTGACCGGCATGAAAACAATTGGCGGAGGCTCGGGTTTCTTTGCCCCAGGCATAGTCAGTTCTGTGCCAGAGCCAAAATACCCCGGATGAGTCCACTCTTCAAGAAGGGGGATTGGGACATGGTGGCCGTTTCTACATATGAGAGCTGAGAAACATACTGTCATGCAGTCCACTCTTCAAGAAGGGGGATTGGGACATGGTGGCCGTTTCTACATATGAGAGCTGAGAAACATACTGTCATGCAGTCCACACTTCAAGAAGGGGGATTGGGACATGTGGTGGCCGTTTCTACATATGAGAGCTGAGAAACATACTGTCATGCTGTCCACACTTCAAGAAGGGGGATTGGGACATGTGGTGGCCATTTCTACATATGAGAGCTGAGAATGGAAACAATGGTTTTCCTGGTGTAAACATGCAGTCCACACTTCAAGAAGGGGGATTGGGACATGCGGTGGCCATTTCTACATATGAGAGCTGAGAATGGAAACATACTGTCATCAAGGGTTTTCCTGGTGTTAACATGCAGTCCACACTTCAAGAAGGCCGTTTCTACATATGAGAGCTGAGAATGGTAACTGTCATCAAGGGTTTTCCTGGTGTGAACATGCACCCCCCTCCCAGACGCGGCTGTTCTCTCCAAATCGCGGCCTAGTTCTCTCCAAGTCGTGGCTGAGTTTGTTCCAACACAGTGCAACAACTTTGTGAAATTGATATTTTCAAGGGCTGACCTGTCATGCTCTATGGTGCCAGTCCTGCCCCAAACTGAGGATACCTTCATGCCCCAAACTGAGGATACCTTTTGAGTTCTGTTGACCAACTGGGAAACCCTTCCCCTGCCCCAAACTGAGGATACCTGTTGAGTTCTGTTGAACAACTGGAAGCCCTTTCTCCTGCCCCAAACTGAGGATACCTGTTGATCAACTGGGAAACCCTTTCTCCTGCCCCAAACTGAGATCACCTTTTGAGCTTTGTTGAGGAAACCCTTTCTCCTGCCCCAAACTGAGGATGGGATTGAAGATACCCCAGACAAAATGCAGTGGGAGATAACCCGTTGCTTGGTGTTGAGGTGACAGCAGGGGTTGAGGCTCCCGACCCTTCTGGATTGCATCCTTCAGCACGAAGCGGGGCATCGCCTGGCATTGCAAAAGGGAGTATAGGAGATCGCTGTTTTACATGTTTCAATCTGTCAGCATTGGATGCCCCATGTTTTCTCCCCTTTGCGCAGCACAAGCTCGCCATGAGCGAGCGCACCCGTCAATTAAGCTGTGGGTATGTTCACAGCTTTGAGGCCCTCATCAAACACTCCGAGCTTTGTCCACAATCTGATGATGTATCCATGGTTCTCAACTGGCAGCTCCAAGTGACCAGAAGGGCAAGCCGATGCAACTACTGAGCAGGAGCTTTATGACCCCTGACCATTGACAAACACATCTAAAATAGGCTCCAAATCAGCCCACTTTGTCCATCGATTGCTGTCCCCATGGTTGGGCTTCACATCCCTGAACTTCTTCAAGTTGCCACGCACCCAGGACTTCGCCCTCTGCTGGTTCATCTTCCAGTCCCGGGATCGGAGGCGTGCCAAGGCGCGTCCAAACCTGGGCGACGGGTCTTGGCTTGCGACATATTCATCGAAACTAGGTAACTAGGGCTGCTATCCCTTCAAGGGTTTTGTCTCTTTGCGTTCAAGATCACCTGAAAATAAAGACAACTAATGCACCCAAAGCTCTTGGAAACAGCGCAGCTTCCCAAAGCCAAGCAACCCCAAAGGGTAGGACTGGCTTTTTTTGAGATCTCGTCCCCCTTGTACCCGCGGCTTGCCTGCCCGGTCAACGTAGTGCACCACCATCTCTCGGCCGGTTTTTGGGGGCACACGCGCGGGCTTGAAATCCCCGATGTTCTCCATCTCCCGGTGGCCTAAGACGTTCGCGGCTTGCCGGAGTTGGAATGTTGGGTAACAACGTAAGGTTCAGGGGTTTGCGAAAGGGCACCTGATCTTGGCATTGGGTCTTGTCTTTCCCATGGCTTTTGAACATGGTGACAACTTGCTAGAACTTGTCAAGAAACTACTGTAAAGCCATGTTGGCTTTTCTGAGCCAGCTCCGTACTGCCCCATGGAAATTCGGTGCCGGAAAGTAGTGACCTTGCCGATGAAATTCTGCATGCAGGGGTGTTCCTGCATCAAGCTTCCTTGTGGTTGTTCAAGTACCCACCAGCAGCCAAGTGATGCTGCGACCCACAGCAAAATGAGGGTGCGGCAAAGAATCAAATTTCCAGATATGACCGACTCAGCCTTAAGATTTCCAGTTGGGTTTGATGCACTCCTCCCTGTTGAACCCCGAGACCTTAGCTTGAGTGACACGCTGTTTCCAGAACAGGGTTTGCCCTGAAAGCTTCAATGAAGCATGTTTTATTTTCACAAGTGTTAACATGTTGGACCGTGTTTTCCACCCTAGACCGTTTTCTACCTCATAAACTTCGGCCCGAGTTGCATGAATACAAAGGAAGAGCAAACCGGTGCAGTTAGCGTTGATGCGCCAACCCGTAGTCTGCACGTTTGGTACAGCATGTTCAGAAAGCCCACCGGGTGCAAGATGTTATGCCCAACCTCGTCGTAGCGGATGTCCATGGCCACCACATTTTGCCTCCCCTCCTGCCAAGAGTGCAAACGGTGCCCTCGTGTGAGCTTGACTCAAACCATATGCAGGCGGTGTTGTTTTCACTTGACCAGTGCAACACGTATCCGGTTCCCGAGTAGGATGGTTTTGAAAGGAACCTGCGCGTGGGTCCTGGATTTCTCCCAGCGAGACCGCCATATCCCCTGAAAAGGTCTCCACGTGGTCCAGCGCCGAGGAGAACGGGAGACCCTTCTGGTTGAAGAGCAGCACCACCAAGATGCCAATCACCTGGGATGTGACACAAGGTTTTGGGGTTTTGGGGCGCTAGTTTATCTCAATTGAATTTGGGTTTTGGGGTTTCACAGGTTCAGGAGTGGGAACACAAGGTGTTAGAAGTAAGCATGGTTCGGCCGAGTCACTGCTGGGGCTTTCAACATTCTCAAGCCGGCCAGAATCCGATGCTTTTGCTTTTGGCGAAAAGTCCCTCCCGTCATTCCCTCACCTTTCTGCACCATGATGGAAAGCATCGGTGGAATCGCAGCTTGGGATTGCTTCCTCACATCCTTTTTGCAAGGTTTCCCCATGATGCACAAAACCAAAAGACAACTTGAGCCTGGAGCTATAGGGTCAAGGCAACCGTGCAAAAGCAACCAAGCTAGAAGCATTCCGAAGTCACACACCGTTTTCTGGGGATGCAATTTTCATGGATGACGGGTGTGACTGGAGGGGTTGTTTGAAAGGAGACATGTGAGGCCATGGACCCCTGTTGATGAGTCCAGTTTTCCGGAATGCGCTCCAGAGGCGTGTGCGTCAGATTGCGTAGCAATCATTGATCCACCAATTGCATATGAGGTTCGGCCATCTCGTCCGGTTAATTGTCTTCAGTCCAGAGGGTCACTTCAGGGGCATCAAAGTATGACCGTAGCTCACATGTCCATCTCCCAAGGGCTGCACGGCCAACTCCAAACCTCTAAGCAATTCAGCTTATCAGGGTTCTGACCTTCATGTGTTGTTTAAATCGCGATAGTATTTAGCTGGAGTTGGCAACAGCCACCTACAAAAGCAGCTCCTTGCTGCGGTTCCTACGAAATCAGCTCCTAGCTGGGGTTGGCAGCAGCCACCTACGAAATCAGATCCTAAAGGCGGCCCACTCCAAACCTCTAGCTATTAACCTTATCATGGTTCTGACCTTGATGTGCTTTGTACATCGCATTGCCATACTTCCATTTGCTTAAGAGTATGTTTTATTTTCACTTGTTTGTGTTAAAGGGAATCTATCACTATTGCAAATATGTGTTCAGGGGGCTTAAGCAAATGGAGGCATAGTATTTAGCTGAAGTTGGCGACGGCCACCTGCGAAATCATAGCATGGGGGGGTTGGCGACAGCCTACGAAATCGGTCCTGCAGGGCTGCACGGCCAACTCCAAACCTCTATCAAATCAACCTTATCATGGTTCTGACCATCGTGCATTTTGTAAATCGCGTTGCCATAGTATGAAGCTGGAGTTGGCAACAGCCACCTACGAATTCACTTGTCTTTGCCGTTTTTGGCCATTGCCAGAGCGGCATCAAGGGCTTTATCTGACCCCCCAAATTTGCGCCACGAGATCTGGCCACAGGTGCCCTCTGGGCAAGCCTTTCTAACGTAAAATGCATTGTTACGAAGGAGCACGTCGATGTAAATGGTGTGCCCTTCGTGCTCAAATTCCACCGTGTAGGAGTGTTTCCCACGGTGAACCCGGTCCCGGGAAGGTCGCGCCAAAGCGGGGATGTTCTCCAAGTTGTACCCGCAGTACTCCGTCTCAGCATTGTCACTTCACATGTCAAACCAACTGATTCTTTCCCTCAGGATCCCCGGTCGATGTTTTGGGTTTTCCTTGGAAAGCCCTAGGTTTGGTTTTTGGTTTGGGCCACTTGCGTTTTGGTTTGGTTTCCGGCAAACCTCCTCGATCTGAAAAGGGAAATCCAATGTTTGTTCCACACAAGAAACAATGAAGATACATAACACCCCATGCGCAGAAAAACCCCTTCAAGTTTGCCAGGAAAGTCTTTTTACAAGCGTTGCTCTTGTGGCCCCAAACTCCCGGTGTGCGCCCATTAGGTGTTTGAGCTTCTGTGGAAATTAAAGGGGACCTTTAGACCATAGGTGTTTCTCAAATAGGAACCCCGGTGCAAATGCGTGTTTGTTTTTTCCAAAGAAGTAATGCAACGACTACCAGTAATGCGACCATCGGGACAAAACCCAATCTAGAGGGGGCACCCCCCACATGACCAAGCGGCGCTCTCTTCCGGCTGTTCCTCCTTTTTCTCATCCTTCTGATCCTTCTTGTCCTTCTTGATCGTGCCCTTCGGAGCGCCCCGCTTGAAGGACGCCTTCTTCTCCATCTTCTCCTTCGACTTCTTGGCGCCGTCGGTCTTGTCGGCCTTGGCCTTGGCCTTTGGCTTCGCCTGAGGGGGCTGCTGAGGGGGAGGGCTCACTGGGGGCTATCAAGGATAACTAGCAAGGCTGTTGCACCCCGGGCCTGTGCGCCCACATAGACTGACCCTGTGTCTTTCAAGTACTCTTGCACCCTCCCAAGGAACTTTGGCTCGGGTAGGAGGGGCGTTTTGACAGAGTCCATAGGGAACGGCACCTTGCTGGATTTCTCCTCTAGCCCCATCATGTTCAGGGCGGTGCGCAACAACGCCATGTCCTTAACAGCAAACGCACTCACATCTTCTCTACGGAGGGCACGGGGTGTGTTAGACCGCTGAAGAACACGTTCTCAGGTGAAAATCAAAACATCGAACGGCATGTTCGGATGTTCGAGAAACCTTTGCTTTAAAAGGCGAAACCTCGCACATTGCGTTTCCTTTGCGTGAGACTGAGCTTCATCATACTTAAAAAATGCCACCTGAACAAATCAAGAGACATGCTTTTTTGTGGGGTCCATTAAAGTGGCAACATGGAAATCACCCTCAAAATCAGTGTTAGCCAATCTGCTTTCTGAACAAACCATTCCAGATCATTCCAGGGGTGCATTTCGCTCCTCATGCGGGAGCTCAAACCAAAACTAGGCCCCTTCAAGCATATAAGATGTAAACACATATGTGTATATATATATATATACATATATATATATATATATATTGAGGAGTCTCAAAATGTTTAGCGTGGAATCGGAATCACACCCTCCTGAAACACTTCACGGGTAGACGCGTGCCAGAGCGCACAGCCCTCGGCCTCGCCCTCCGGTAGCAGCTCAGCCTTCTCAGCTCCAGCCGCACTCTTAGATCGCTTCGCCGGCTTCTCCTTCGTAGACAGGTCCTCGCAGCTCCTCTTCCGCTGCAATGCCTTGCCCAGAACCGACTCCGGCTCCGAACCATCCTCGCACTCCTCCACGTCGTAGAGGTCCTCCAGCCGTTTGACCGGGGAACCGTCAAACGAGCTGTCATCGCTGTCGCCATCATCACTGTTGCCCTCCAGCAAGGCCGCCGCCCCGGCGCCTGGCAAGGGCAAGGTCTCCTGAGAGCTGTCGCCCTCGTCACTGTCGTCGTTGTTCAGCTGCGTCTCCTCGTGCAGCTGCGTCTCCTCATCCGCTGCGTCTCCTCGTGCAGCTGCGTCTCCTCGATCCGCTGCGTCTCCTCGTGCAGCTGCGTCTCCTCGATCCGCTGCGTCTCCTCGTGCAGCTGCGTCTCCTCGATCCGCTGCGTCTCCTCGTGCAGCTGCGTCTCCTCGATCCGCTGCGTCTCCTCGTGCAGCTGCGTCTCCTCGATCCGCTGCGTCTCCTCGTGCAGCTGCGTCTCCTCGATCGGCTGTGTGTCCTCGATCCGCTGCCTCTCCTCGTTCAGCGTCTCCTTGATGAGCTCCTCACCTCGCTCCTCCGACTCGGAGTCGAACTGCGGGCTCAGCGTCGGGCTGTGCATGGCCCTCTCCAGCTCTGTGATCTCCCGGCCATGGCCTTCAGGAACACTTCCAAGCGACTCCCCGTCGTCCTCGGAGATCACGCCCGCCTCGCCAGAGTCCGAGCCGTCCCGCATGTCCTCGCCGCTCGTCGCGCAGGGATCCTCAAGGGCCGCGTCGCCGTCGCGCCGGCCTTCCTCTTCCTCACCAGCGTCCGTTCCCTCCTGCACCTCGCTCTCCTCTGTGTCCGGCTCCTCGTGCTCGGACTCGCTGTCACTGTCGTCGCTGCTGCTCTCGTTGTCAGCGCCCTCCTGAGCACGAAACCGCGGAAGCTATAATCAGACCCTAGAACGCCCAACTGGCAAAAGAACAAGTTGGTTCCAACCTCATCAGATTCAAAACTCAACAGGTGGAGTTGAACACTGAGGATCAAAATGCAAAAGCTTTGAGTGTGAGGGCGCGAGGGTTGAATGCCCAAATGGCAAAAGAACAGGTTGAAACCTCATCAGGTTTGATTTGAAAATGATGAAATCAACAGTTGGAGTTGAACATTGCAGACCATGTTTCATTCCCTGCCAGTGAAGCATGCCAAAGGCCAAACCATAGTTATCCTGTGTAACACTTTGAGATAAGCGTTTGAGGGTGTGAGTTGCGAGGGTTCAATGCCTCATCAGATTTGAATTGAACATGACATCAACACAAAAGAGCAAGTTGAAACCTCATCAGATTAGAATTGAATATGATGAAATCAACAAACGGAGTTGAACATCGAGGATCAAATTGATTCCCATTAATACGTTCCAAAAGCCAAACTATAGTTCACCCTATCTGTGAGTGAAGCGTGTTTGCGTCAAACAAGTTTCCATGAGTTGAGATGCTGGAATCAGCAAACGTGTTCAATCCGGCACGCTGGAACGCCTAACCCGTTTTTCAGAGTCGAACGTGTGGGACGATCAACATAATTTCTGAAATGTCTGAACACGTTCTGGGGTCCCAGAAGTCGCTTGCAAGTAGAGGGTTCGGCCCAACAGTTTTGAAACCACCATGCTTAAGAGCATATGTTTGAGAAACATTCTCCACTCGTAGGAAAAACGGTGTAGGAAAACACTGCCCCTATTAGCCCGAAGCCTCGTTGCCGCTGCTCTCAGGCTCAGCCTGGTTCTGGCGCTGCCTGTTGGGCGACGGCTTCAGCAAGGCCTTCAGCTCGCTCACCCGGTGATCGTGCGATCGGCGGCCTGAGTTCGAAGGGGGCGGTCATTGCCAAACTGGATACGCTTTAAATCCATCCTTTTGATCACTCAATCGTTTTCTAGTCGTGTGAGGATTGTGGGTTTTAAGACTCGTCTTCGTTTTTGGTATGGGGTTTGGTCAAAAGGATAGTTTGTTTTCAATCGTTTCTGGGAGTCTCAGCCTAGCCCATTCCAATACATATCTCTTACACAAACCGTTTGTTGGGGAGTTTTTACTCTTGTACGAACACGGTTTTGGGGAGGGGAGTTTCCCACGCCAAAGCACATCTTTTACAAGCCGTTTCTTTGTGAATTTACCCAATTCCACTTCAATGCATCTCTCTTACATCAATTACGTCAGCGGTATACACTCGCTCGCGCTTGGCTGCTTGGATTGGCTTAGGCACTGTTGCGGTTGAGGTAGCGAAGGCTGCCTACCAGCTTCTTCAGTCGGTTGGCCTCACGGGCAGAGAAGGTGACCTTGGCGTTCCGAACGGCCATCTGCGTCGCGCCCGGCTCGATCTGCACCTGAAGGAGCTTCCCATCGAACATCTCGTCGAGGCTGAGGAACACGTCCGTGAGGAAGAACCCGGAGGGTACCCGCTCTGGGTACGCCTCCACTACAGGGCGCAGCCACACAAAGTTCGCCGCGATGTCCTTGTAAGAAGGCCTGGCGATGGCGTCCTCCAGCACAACCAGTTCACCCCCGCTCAAATCGCCCCCGCGGATCAGCTGGCAGGCCCTGTCCGGCAGGTTGCCCAGGATGGCTCGTGAGAGGCCCTCCTCGTTGGCAATCATTGGCAAACAAAAGCGGAAAACAAAAAGCCAGCACGCAAACTCGCCCCCCCTCTTGAGGGTCTTTCACACGTTCGGCCCGAGTGCAAACGAGAGTCCACCTGCTCTTGCGTCCAGGCCACCTTTCCGTGGCCTGGGAGCAACTCAGGAAAAGCACATCGAAGTCACCAGTAGCCGAATCCCGATTTTCATTTGAGGCGCCTCTCTACACCCTTCGATCACATTTTCTTTTGACGGGGCTTGTAATGTGAGGATTGTTAGTTTTAAGACTCGTCTTCGTTTTTGGTATGGGGTTTGGTCAAAAGGATAGTTTGTTTTCAAGTGTTTCTGGGAGTGTTACCCCAGTCCATTCCAGCACATATCTCTTACACAAACCGTTTGTTGGGGAGTTTCACTCTTATTCGAACACGGTTTTGGTAAGCTTTTAAAAATCCAATACATATCTCTTAGACAAACTCGTTTGTCGTGAGTTTTTACCCTATTCCACTGTAACACATATCTCTTAAGCAAACTCTTTTGGTGGTAGGCCGCTTCCAATTTCAAAGCAACTGTCAACTAACTTCAATTGTGCTGGCAAGCCACGCACCGACCTCCACACGCGAGTGCTCAGGGCCATGGCGGGGCACGTGTGCGGCACGTGTGCGAATTGCTCCCCAGCAAGGGCACCACGTAAAGAAGCCAAAATCTTTCCCGGGCGAGCAAGATTGAATTTGTTCAGCCACCATCGGCAATCACGTCAAGCAACCCAACTTAATGCTCCAATGGCTGTCGGCTTAACCAATAGATGAAAGAGATGTGTGATGAAGGAATCGATTACAAAAGTCAAAAGACGTCTAAATCCTTTCCCACCCCAAAGGTAACTACAGTAATGAAATGATGGGAGGCATTTGTTTGCATGGGGTTCAACGGCATGCCCAATGGTTGGCAGGGAAGGGAAAACAACGGAGCGTATTGTGGCTTCAAGGGAGGCACATTTGGGTACAACATGAAGTTGTCGCCTTGTCTGGATGTCGTGCGAACGAAGCAGCATGCTAGAAATTGCACACGGCAACCCTTTGTCTTCCAGATGCCAAGTGAATAGGAATCTGAAAGCAGTTTATCCAAAAGACATACTAATGCCTAGAGAAGCCCTAACCCCTTCCAATCACACATCCTATTTCTTAGTCTTTACAAATAATGTAAGCATGTGAATGAAAGGCATTGCCCGCCAACCAGAAAGGGTTCCCTCAAAATGCCGGCCACCAAAGATAAGTAGCTGCGTTTTCAAAAGCATTCTTCCTACGGGTCAACCATGAAAGAAGAAAAGGGCCCCTCTTTGTTTCCCTCATGCCTGCCCCGTTCCGAGCGTTGGCCGGCCTTCACCGTCACCTCTCCGGCCAGGCCACGATGGCTTCCGGGCCTTGCAGCGCACGGGGGCCCCCGCGGGCCGTGATGGTTTCCCTTTCCCAAAAGGATGCCCTCTCGAAAAACACGATTTTACTGCAGCTTTAGTAACTTAGTATATGCTTTGCAAACCACCTCCAGAAAACTACATCAGTTGTTGAATACTCATCAGAAGACCGCGCTCAGGAGACCATTCAAATACTGCGTTCAGGAGACCATTCAGCACCGATACCCCCAAATCCAACGAATTGAAACCCCGGGCGAGGACGTTCTCAAAATGATTGGGGCCATCAGAACCATGCCCCTGCAAGATCATCCTTCAATTTTGCTGTTGAGAGACCGTTGGGCGGAGAATTCACAAAATTGAAATGCAATCAAAATAGTGAATAGGTCCATCAATACTGACACCTCACTTTCTCGGAAGCACAAGCGCCAGCGACGCTGGGTGCCCGGGCCTTGCCGCCAATCAGTGGCGCTGCCATCAATCCCATGTCTATGTTTGCCCTGTTTGGGACTGCTGACACCCCCTTCTGGAAACCCTTGTAGGGAGTTCTCTTAGGGCCTCGTTTGGAGACCCTTTTACGTCCTTTCCGTTTGACCCAGTGATGCCAAGTGAAAAATATATTGCTCTTGAAGGCATGGAAAAACTAGTTTCACATCTTCTTGGAAAACTTGTTAGTCTCGACCATGTGGCAATGTGTTTGCTCACCTTCGACGTGGAAAACACAAGTTGGTGATAATTCCTACAAGGGTTATCTTTGTGAGACACCCCAAAACCAAGCGAGTGCGATTCCGTGTTTCGAGCAAACATTTGCTCGCCCAGAGCGCGCAAAGTGTCTAAATGACACCGATTCGTGGGCGACGACAGGTGCACTAAAAGGCCTTCAAACGTTTCGAATAGAGACTAAATTCCGAGCGGTCAAAAGCAAAAGGGGCTTATAGAAGGGTTTCCATCAAAATGAGCATATTGTTTCGCAAGCCAGGCGGGCTCCCACATTGTCAAAAGGTTTCCAAGGAATTTCCCCGGGGCGCTGCGCAAGCAAACGGGCTCCCGCCAATGTTGACAACGACGCAACAAACAATATTGAAAGCATAGTTGATATACACGTGCACCCACACATCTACATATATACATATATATATGTATATACACACATATTGGAAACATATACCTGTATGCATATATATATATATATATACATATATATATATACACAGATAGAACTGAATAAAACGCACACACACACACACACAGATACTTCGCGCGTGTTGCCAAGACTATTGTGTATAAACCAACGCGCGCAGTGTCACGCAACAAAAAACATTGCTGACAGCCATGTCCCCGCCGAATTCCATGGCCTCCAACTGCAAACTTTTGGAGGGGTGCCTGCAACTGCAAGCTTTGGGGAAGGTGCCTCCAACGCAAGCTTTGGAGAGAGTGCCTCCAACTGCAAGCTTTGCCACTTACAAGCTTTGGAGGGGGTGCCTCCAACTGCAAGCTTTGGACAAGGCGCTTCCAAGCTGTGAAGCTGGTGAAGAAGTGAGCTCGCGCCCTGTTTTTTGTTGCAAAGCGTGTTGCATTTTCCACGAGCTATCAAAAACCTACGAGAGCATACGAGAACAAACGAGAGCATTAAGCTCTACTTTGGAGCGCAGCTACGCAATGGACAGCTGCCGAGCGTGGCGGTAGAGCTCGTCCGACATCATGTCGTGCTCCGGCCCACGCTGCAAGTCAATCTCCACTCCAAGCTCCTTCACCGCCCGTTCCAGGGTGTATCCTTCACGGGGTCCCGCGTATGGGTGCAGGATAGCTTTCCGGCCTTTCTGCTCCAAGGATCTTCTCCGTCTCCGATTCCATGGGATTGCCCGCAATGTTTCCGCCGGCTCCACCAGAATCTTCCTTCGCACCTCCTCCGGTAGGTCACGAAATGCAGGATGTAGTTCCACCACCTTTCTGGCCGTTTCCCAGTCAGGACCTTCTTTAGCTTTACTTCGCTAATCCGGCCCTTCTTTTTCTCTTTCCCCTTTTTCTCAAGCTCCCCGAGCAACTTCGTCGCCGTCCGCTGGGTCACATAGGGGCATCCATCCTCCATGTGAATCCGCAAAGCTCCCATCTCTGGATGTACCACACGGCACTCCTCCCCATCCCACGTCACCACGCAGTGCAACCTCTCCACCAGCAGACCCAACGGAATGATGGAGCCCACGCCCTCGTTCTCCTGGACGATGATGCCTCCCTCCGTGATCCGCATGACTTTCATCTCTCCTCCGGCCAGGGCAACATCGATCTCGTCCAGATTCTCGATGTCTTCACCTTCTTGCCGGGCACGTAGAGGATGCGTAGCTCCCGAGTCCAGTAGCCCACCATCACTCCACCTCCCTTGAGCGTTTACCTGGGCCCTTTTGAGAGACCCGGATCTCAACCCATTCAGCTGTTTCTGCAGGTCGTCCAAGCGGTCGTTCCTCTCGTCCACCTTCTTGACTCCCTGCAAGGCGTTGAGGCTCCGTAGCATCTTTGCTGCTTCCTGCAACACCCCACCCATAGATTCGTCTTTCCTCGAATCTTCCACTACCGTTTCCTTCTCCCGGATCGGCTTGATCTCCTCCTTCTTGGGTGAGGGTGCCGAAGCCGGTGTCGTCGCCACGTCGTTCTCCTGGGCCACCCTTCTCACAGCCGCCGGCTTCTCGGGTGATGTCGGCTTCTGCTTTCTGGGGCAGTCTTTCCTCATGTGTTCCACTGATCCACACTCCCAGCAGCGTCCTCTTGCGGTCTCATCCGTGGGATGCTGCCACTCGCAACTCCGGCCCTTTCTGCAGCCAGCGTCCTTCATGTAGAACCTGCAAACTAGGTCCCTACGTCCCGTCCCTTGCTCCTTCTCTGTCTCGACCTTCCGGATCTTGACGTCCACGGGTTTTGTCACCTTTCTCTCACCCCCCTGGTTGCTCTGTTCCAGTTCGGCCAAGACGTGCTCCGCGAACTGCTGCACCGTTCCATGCGTCGGCACGCTGTCCACCCGCAGCGTGTTCCGGGCAAGGGAAATCCGGAACGTCAGCTCCCGGTTCGTCTCCACCACCTTTCGAATCATCTTGCTGAGTCCCCTCATCATGACCGTGGGGTCTGGCAACGCCAAGTTCATCTCGCTCGCCCGCCGCCTCCACCTCAGCCACTTTCTCAAACCCTTGAGTGCCTCCGGGATCGTAGCAGCTTCCACCGGCTCCTCCAACGCCCGTAGTACCACTCCTTTTTCTCCAAGACCTCCTGGTTGATACACTATCTGCAGATCGCCCCGTAGGCCGACACCGTATTCGTGGCGATCATCTCGTCTCTCACCGTCTCCGGAACCGCCTGGATGCTGAGCGAAGCTGCCCGCCTTTCCAACCGACTCCATTTCCTTAGCCCCAACACCTCCGGCGTCCTGGGCACCATGTTGACCCTGTTCAGCGGGATCTCCTTCATGTACTCCTCGTACCACTCGCGGGCCTCCTTTAAAAGTAGGTCCCACCATTCCATCGAGCTGTCACTCAGGTCCGACATCAGGGGATGGATTATGGTGAACCAGTCCCCTAGATCTATCGGACCATTTTCCGGGCTAAATTCGCCCAGGCGAGGCAACTCCGTGAAGCCCTCTCGATGGTCTCCTGCTTCTCCTTCTGGTCCAAGAGCTGCTTCTGCATCATCTGCATGCCCTCCATGAGCTTCAGCATTACGTCCATCTGGTTGACATCCTTTCTGGATCCGGCCACATCGCTTGCCCTTTCCGAGGCACCGCCATCCTGCTCATCCCGAGCATTTCCTTCTTCACCACCAGCTCCAAGTCCGCCTTCTCCGACCTTGCCATTCGGGTGGTCGCGGGTCGGGCCGTAGGGCTCGTGGTTCTGATTGTCCCTGACCGTGATCATGCCGTTCACCTTCTCCCCGGACTCCCGGCTCTCCGGCGTGCCGTAGTCAGCGTCCGTCTCCTTTCCTTGCTTCTTTAGCACTTCCACCTCACGCTGAAGCCTCTGATTCCGCGTCATCAGCTCCTGCATCATCTGCATGAGGTAGACCGGGTCCACTCCCGTTGCCGATGGTGTCGTCCTCGCATCCTGAGACACCGCCATCATCTTCATCATCTGGCCCTCCGGCTCCGGGTTCTCCATGGGTAGGTACCTCGGTCGAAGTTGGCCACCACCCGGATTGTCTCCCTCCAGGCTACTCTCCACGGGCAAGTGCGCCGGCCTCGGTATCCGCGGTCCCCTCAGCAACGGTGCTTTCTCGTCCCACTTGTTGAACTCCCTGATCTGCTCCGGGGTGAACAGAGGCTTCATGGCTTCTGGCTCTCCTTCCGGTCCATTTGGCCACCTGCGTGGAGGCTCCGGATCGAGTTCCTCCTCGCTCTGGCCTGGCTTGAGTGGTGTTGCCGTGGGCTCAAGCGGCTTCACCACCTCCACCATCCTCCTCGGAGGCCTTCTGCCTCCAGCAAAGGGCACCATTTCCTGCCCTATGATCTCCAGGCCCTCCACCTCCGGTTCGTCTCCTTCGGCAGAATCGAGCCTTTCTCGAGGTTCTCCACTTCCTGATGCCCTTGTCGGTTCCATTGCCAAGCGAGGGCCCCTGTTTTAGGGGTTTGGGCTCATAACCTGTGGTGCCGCTATTCAGAAGCGGTCTTTTCCTCGACACAAAAACGGCTCCATTGTGCATGGTTGGTTGCCTATACATGAACTCCTATGTTTCACAAAAATATTTCACCAGCCTGAAATAAGCTGGTTTGGGGCCGTTCTCCACAAAAACCACCATTTGGGGTGAGGTCGTGAGGTTGATATAATTCACCCAGTCAAATGGTTTCCTAACAGTCCGACACCCTCTTCAACAAAAGGGCGGGCCTCCGGCTCTCAATGTTCTATTTCCAGCTAAACCCCTCCTCTGACCAGTCATCTTCAGGTGGTACTTCCGGCGGGCGGCGCGGCATGGCAAGCTCGCTGGACCAAGCCGCAAGTCAAAAACAACCGTTTCGTTTCAGGTGCCGCTCGTGCATTTTAAACAAACAAGTCATGTTACGTTCCCTTCAGTGCCAACAGGAACGACACTTCATACTTTCCCGCTCAAAGGGAAACATCGCGAGAAGCCAATGCAAAAAAAACAAAAACAAAACACTTTCCAGGGGAACTACCTGCAGTACAAAGCCTGTAGCGCGTGGAAGTTACCAGTCAGCCCTTTGCCTTCACTTCACTCTCGAAGAGGTTGAGGTCATGCTCAAGGCACGCCGGACAAAAGAAACAAAAAAACGCATGCACTGTGGCATGCACCACATGCTTCATTGATGCCACTCTAACATAATTACACTTCATAAACTTCAGATGGGTGTGCGCTTTAGTGGACCCCAAACTCATGGGTTTCCTCTTTTGGGACCACAACAAAGGGATACCCTCAAAAACTGACAGGTTTTGGCATGTTGTTTGGCGGAAGGTGGGTCCGCAGCTTGATTCGAAGCAACTGATCCAGTGCAGCCGAGCCGAAGCGTCCACGCGCGCGGTATGGCGAGAGTAGAAGAGGCTCGGCAGAATATTTCTTGCAACCATCTGCAGAGAGTTGGGCGACTTGCAAAGCTGTACACCCAAGTGGGATTCAAGGTTCAGTCTGGCACTCTATTTCACACCATGGCGTGTTGATGTGGTCACAGTGTGCTTGAGATTCTTTCCTGTTTTTGGGACACCTAACCTGCGTACCCTTTTAGCGTACAAGCCTCGGATATCACGCTTCAAACTTGGACCATGAATCTGGCCAAGTGATTCATCATTCCCTAGGAGCCCAAGACCTCAAATATCGAGGCCATTGGGCTAAGGCAGTCTTGGGCTCCTAGGGATTCATTGATTTGAAAACAAGGGCCCGAGACATGAATCTTATCCATCAGGCCCGAGGTCGCAAACCAGAACCGAAGCGAGGCCAGGACAAGTTTGACATAGCTCCCAGGTGACACCTACGCCGAAAGAGGGGGCAACCATCGATTTGGCTGTGGGGCAAAATTAAACCACCAGGAATTGGACAGCAGGTTTTAGTCCATGTTTCCATTTACCAGCGCAAGCCATTTTGGGGTTACCCTATTTTTGACCCACAGCCATTTTGCCAATGCGGAGCAACTAAACAATGTGGACACCCCTCCTTCCAAATGAGAAACCACCATCGCTTGCGGCTTGCGGCACCTTTCGATCTCCTTCCGGGCAGCTTCCAGCCAGGCAGCCTGAGAAGATCCGAAAAGGACCCCACTTCCCAGGCCCATTTTGTGTTTTGACCCATGGCCAGCACTTGGGTTGCGCGGTCGCGCCACGGCGCGCGAGTGAAACCTTCAGCTTCTGGTTTTCCGTGAGCTTCTCGTGGGTCCATGTTTCCGTCCAGGAAGCCATGGGACGCCATGGGAAAACATGATGATTTTGTTCTTGTTCAGGGAAGCCCACAGAAACCACCCATTTGGGGGGGGGGGGATTGATTCCGAGGCAAAACAAAGGGAGAACCAAAGGAAAGCAAATTTCACTTGGTTGACGTTGGGTTAGGGAAGCAATAAGATCAAAAATGGGGAAAATGTTTCCAACAACAACCATGTTCAGGGCCTGGTCTCTACCCAAAAGCGGCTTCGGCGTCAGAAGATCTCGACCTCCAGCCTGGCAACGGATCGACCGCCAGCCCTCCGCTTTTTGGGGGCGCAAGATGTGCTTAGACCTCCTTGCCCTTCTGAAAAGAAAGATGCCGACCCACAAAAAATCAACAGGCTGTCCGGTCCCTTCAACTGAAGAGGGTGGATATGGCCATGAATTTTAGTTGGAACCACCTCAAAAGTGAGGTAGGTGGACATGAATCCCCACCGAAATGATGTCCACCCCTGGGTGTCCACCCCTGGGTCCCTTATTCAATTTCATAGCCATATCCACCGTTTTCAGTTCAAGGGATAGGACAGCCTTTTGATTTTTTTGGGGTCGGCATTTTCCATGGCCAAGGAACTATGAGTCTCCCTCTCTCTCTCTCACCCTTACTCGTGCGAACACACGGAAAACACAGAACCAGGGGCACCCTCGCGACAATGGAAAACATGGCTGGGCTGGCCCCGCGGGCAAAGTCAAGTAGAAGTGGTAGGCCTCGCGCCATTGGCGAAACCCAACCACCGCCGCAGTCTTGTTCGGGCTTCTCCCATAGGGAATCCACACATTTTGGCCTCCCTTCCGTTTCTTTTGGCGTCCCTTTGAAAACCCTGCAAGAAGGGTATCCTCAAAAAAGAAGAAAAACGATATCTTGGAGTAGCGGCCCTGGCCACATGGCGCCACCTAAGACAAGCTATCCCGCAGTGTGAAACCCTGCAATCACAAGAATAAGGCCGCTTGTACCCTGTTGTCCCTTGTAGAGCCAAAATGACGTTCCGTGACAGTTTGTCGGAGTCTAAGTTCGCTCTAAATATTACCCTCACCCCTGTTTAGAGAAAACCTATGTGATGAAACGCACAACATATGCAGTGACTCCTTTCATTCACTCCCGCTGCAAGCCTCACTTGCAGGAACAGGACACAGGTCAGCTTAAGCTGATTCTCACAGGCTGAGTGTCTAGGTCCAGTAGGGAGGGAACCCTCCCCCAAAAAAGGGTAAAAGGGCACTACTGGGGGACCTAGGTGTGTATAAACCCCTGTAATATGAACCCCTGGTATGCACCCGGCTACTTGTGGCGCTAAAATGTGGGAAACAAGCCCCCTAAAGGGAACTGGTGCAACATGGCCATGGTTCACCTATGGCCAAGCCTTTTGCGATCCGCTTTGAGCTAAACCTCTCCCGGCGTCCTCGGGCACATCCGGCGTGATGTCTGCTGCCAGCACCCACCTCGGAAGGCCCTCCCCCAGGTTTTGGAGGGGTGAGGACACACATGTGGCGCCATCAAGTCAAAACGCTGCCAGTGGACGAACCTTTTCAGCGCAGTCTTGGAAGTGCACCGAGGGGTGTCAATCTTGGAAGGAGAAAAACCTCGATTTGCGGGCCGGCTGCCTTGATTTTGCAGGATCCCAGCAGCCAACAAAGAAACAAAAGCCTGCAATAGCCTGACACATCGATGTTGTATGTAAACAAACTGATATGTTTTAATTCGGCACTATGCGAGAACCGGCATCGTTTAAACTTAGATTCATTACAAGGGCTGTGTCGATAGTATCTATAGATTTCCCCAAGCCTCATTCAAGCCCTGAAGCCTTTTGCGCCGCTTTTTGCCTGCTGAGCAGAGTCCACCGACTCGAAGATTCTAGAGGTCACTTCCCCATCTAAAATACAAATGCAAAGCTTGGTTGACGTTGGGTTTGGGGAGCAACAAATCTAAAATTTTAGTAGTCAAGTGGTTGGATTTCAACCACCAAACCACAATAAGAACAAAAATGGGAAAACTGTTTCCCGACAACAACCATGCAACAGCCCACGGAAACGACTCTTGCACCCGCTCAGTGCGTCCATGTCAGCAGGTAAGAGACCACATCTATCCATGTCTTCAGATGGGAAACAAACCAGAACCATGGTTGAACAAAAATGGGTTGCAGAGAACGATGGTTGAACAAAAATGGGTTGCAAAAGAACGATGTTTGAACGAAACAATGGGGAACCAACCTCCAGAAAGATGCCCCTCAAAAGTCACGCCTCGCATTTGGACGTCTCGAATGGCCCTTTCAGGGCACAGAAACGGATCACAGCACGCCGAAGCAGCGCTCGTTCAGCGCATAGCCTTCGAATGTCTCCCCACCGCAAGAGAGGTGGAGCTTGCAGTACCTGCGGCTCACGTCAGTGACAAAGCAAGGCGTTGGACATGCTCACGAGTTGCTTCCATTTGGTTAAGACCCCTGCACAAAAATAAACGCATTTCCAGTAGTGACAAACTCCTTTTAAAACCAGCAAGGGAAAATACACAATAGTCTTAAACAAATGGAAGCACATTGAGCATCCGTTGGACATGCTCACAAATGGTCAATGCACAAATGATGACAAATCATGGTTGGAGTGACAAAGCTGAAGCAGGCTGAAGCACTCTCCTCACTTCCTGAGTTGGCCCGAACACAAGTAAGTAGGTCCTCAAGTAGAGAGGTTAGAACAAGGGTACCCTTTTTTCGGCAGTCTATTTTAGCAGGGGAACCCCCAAAAAGGGTAAAAGGGCACTACTGGGGGACCTAGCCAAACTTTCAGGTTGCCACTAAAGCTGTCTTCCCAAAAAGTTATTGAAGTCCAGCCAGGAACTCAGGGAGTGAGTTTCTGACACATCTGAGGCTGAGGCAAACAAGCACAAAGCGAGACCCGATGCATCTGTTAATTGGTCCTCACGCAGTGAGGATGGGTTTCTCCGAAATCCAATCCTGAACAGGGCTTAGGGCCCGTCTTTGTGAACAAGTGAGTGCCGCGTCAGGGCAAAGCAAGTGAGTTGACTGCCTTCGGTGACCTTGCACTTACACAAGCTCTCTGGGCAGTGTGCTTCGGCATTTCCCAAAAGTGGGTGCCTCCTCATTCATGGGTCATGGGGTCCCATCAGTTGGACAAGCCTGTGTCGGTACACAAACTAGTCAAGCAGGCATGGCCATTTCTTCCTGGGCTTATGCTGCACCCCGTGATGACAAACAGTGACAAACGGGCGAGAAGTAAGGACCAGCCATATGGAACTTGCAGGGATCCCGAATCATACAACGGACAGGTAAAACTTATCTCACCCAACTCCTTTGCATCTTCCCGGGCAAACCTAGCAGAATTCGTGGTCTGGAACGTGTCTGGCTCAGGGTTGTGGAACGTCACCGTGGCTATACGAGAGTTGGCCATCCTGCGGCAAGGTTGCACCCGCTGCTTTTTGGACACTACGTGGAATTTTGGCGGGTTTTCACGGTGCTCGAAGAGGGATCCCTCGGCCAGTGAGAATGCAAAGTGGCAAAAGCCAAGCACTTTTCCCACTCGTCAAGATCTCTAGAAACCGGTTTGGAGGCGCTTTTCATGGTCTTTGCCTGCTCCTCCCCCGGTTGGGCCTTTTTTTAGTAAGCTCTGAGTACTCTTTCAACATGTGGCCATGGGTCAGAAGCCCGTACCCCCAGTGAACATCCCAATCCAACCACTAAAATAGACTAAATGGGCGGTGCATGACCCTACAGCTACCCCAAAATGGGATCCGATTGGTTTTGACCCACAGCCATGTGGATCCGCTGATGCGCCACATCCAAACCGGTTTCTGGAACATCCGAATCGGAATTGACCCGTGCCTGAGCTGCATGCGACTGTTGGTGTCGCCGCCCTTATAGTCATGCAGCCACTCCCCCAGCGGCGTGACACGGGCGACCTGAGGTCGCATGCATAATTGTTGGGCAATGGCAATGGTGTGGGCCCCCAGCCTGTGATGCATTCAAACCCACTGTGCACAAGGCATGATATACACGACAGTAGAAGCCCATACCAATTGCTCAACTAGCTTTCTATGAGGTACAAAGGGCACCAACCGAAGCACCTCATCAATAGCGGCAAGTTCAGTAAAAGGCAGAATGATCCATTTTCGGGCAGCCACTGATGCTAGTATTGCAAGCAAACCACACACCACTGCAAGCCATTGGCAAAGAGAATCTGGGCCTGGCATGCCAGGAACCAACCTTGGGGGAAGTGCCTGGAACCAAACACCGCCATTTGCTTAAGCCCCCTGGGAAAAAAAAAACAACATTTCCTGTAGTGATAGATTCCCTTTAAAACCAACAAGGGAAAATCAACCATATTCATTTCCGATGCGAGAGCAGTGCGATGCGTGTTTCCCCCATGCTGCAGAGGGGCGTACTTGGTGCCATTGATCGTGGCGAAGCCCTCGCAATCCTGAAGCCCGCTGCTCGGAGGGGCAAGTGGCATGCCCCTCGTGGCCAAGCCAAGGTTCACCAGTGGGGTTGGTTGGTGGACTTGGGGTGGGGTTGGGGAGTGGAGTGCCACGAAAAATGGACCGACAAAAAGGAACGAGTCAGTCACAAAACGTCGGCCTGCAAGTGAGGCCTGCTCAGAAGCCCTGCCCACTGGTAGTTCAGAATCGCTCAGTCCGCCATAAAGCCTTTACAACCAAAGTCCCCAGTCTCTTGGAAGAAGGCTGCAACTCTGCTCCTCTTTTTCTGGGTCTCCCTTGGCCCTTGCTTTTAGCCTCTCTTGGTTTCATGCATGCTTCCAATTGGTTTCCAATTTTGGCTTCATTTGGTGAACCATTTTCGGACCTCCGGAAGGACCCGAGAGAACGTAACGGTCTACCTCACCCGGAAAGGCGACTGTGGGAATTTCACCCAAGACATAACATGCGTTGCTACTTTGTTGTGGAGAAGCGACCCGTTTGAACTGAAGTTGAAGGTGCAACCAATCGATGCCAACAGGCCAAACTGTGAAAAACCCTTCAACCCATCAAAAATAAAATAACACGAAGCACTGAAAAAAATGAAGAACAAAAAACCACCAAGAATTTCAGGATGTGGTTTGGCCAACTGAGGCAAAAACAACTCACCATCTTCGGGCACCTCTCACTTCCCGGCGCTTTTTGTTCTCCGACGGTTCCGCGGAACCGTCCGGACAAAGGTCCTGCTGGTAGGTGTCACGGCTATCTGCCTGGGTGAGCTCACCGCTGGCGCCGTCCAGCAGCTTGAAGTAGTTGTACTTGGCCTGGAGCAGTCTAGGGGTAGCTTCCATGTCCATTCGTTCCAGGGATCCGGATCTTTCCAGAAAACCACACAACCCGGGGGGGAAATGGATCTGGCTGTTGAAAAGAACGATGGCTGAAAAGAATGGACAAGGAATCAACCCCTAGAAGCATCGCTCGAGAGGAGAAACTTCCACGGGTGCCCAATGAAAAAAACAAATCCCCAGGTTGCCTGGCACAGGGAATTGGTCCCAAGAGGTAACAAATCTTCCAGGGCGCCTCCCAATGTTCTAGGGGTTGATTCCTTGTCCATTATTTTCAACAAAAACAGCACGTTTTCCCTGGGTTGCGGGCTTCCATGTCCATTCGTTCCAGGGATCCGGATCTTTCCAGAAAACCACACAACCCGGGGGGGAAATGGATCTGGCTGTTGAAAAGAACGATGGCTGAAAAGAATGGACAAGGAATCAACCCCTAGAAGCATCGCTCGAGAGGAGAAACTTCCACGGGTGCCCAATGAAAAAAACAAATCCCCAGGTTGCCTGGCACAGGGAATTGGTCCCAAGAGGTAACAAATCTTCCAGGGCGCCTCCCAATGTTCTAGGGGTTGATTCCTTGTCCATTATTTTCAACAAAAACAGCACGTTTTCCCTGGGTTGCGGGCTTCCATGTCCATTCGTTCCAGGGATCCGGATCTTTCCAGAAAACCACACAAAAACCCGGGGGGGAAATGGATCTGGCTGTTGAAAAGAACGATGGCTGAAAAGAATGGACAAGGAATCAACCCCTAGAAGCATCGCTCGAGAGGAGAAACTTCCACGGGTGCCCAATGAAAAAAACAAATCCCCAGGTTGCCTGGCACAGGGAATTGGTCCCAAGAGGTAACAAATCTTCCAGGGCGCCTCCCAATGTTCTAGGGGTTGATTCCTTGTCCATTATTTTCAACAAAAACAGCACGTTTTCCCTGGGTTGCGGGCTTCCATGTCCATTCGTTCCAGGGATCCGGATCTTTCCAGAAAACCACACAAAAACCCGGGGGGGAAATGGATCTGGCTGTTGAAAAGAACGATGGCTGAAAAGAATGGACAAGGAATCAACCCCTAGAAGCATCGCTCGAGAGGAGAAACTTCCACGGGTGCCCAATGAAAAAAACAAATCCCCAGGTTGCCTGGCACAGGGAATTGGTCCCAAGAGGTAACAAATCTTCCAGGGCGCCTCCCAATGTTCTAGGGGTTGATTCCTTGTCCATTATTTTCAACAAAAACAGCACGTTTTCCCTGGGTTGCGGGCTTCCATGTCCATTCGTTCCAGGGATCCGGATCTTTCCAGAAAACCACACAAAAACCCGGGGGGGAAATGGATCTGGCTGTTGAAAAGAACGATGGCTGAAAAGAATGGACAAGGAATCAACCCCTAGAAGCATCGCTCGAGAGGAGAAACTTCCACGGGTGCCCAATGAAAAAAACAAATCCCCAGGTTGCCTGGCACAGGGAATTGGTCCCAAGAGGTAACAAATCTTCCAGGGCGCCTCCCAATGTTCTAGGGGTTGATTCCTTGTCCATTATTTTCAACAAAAACAGCACGTTTTCCCTGGGTTGCGGGCTTCCATGTCCATTCGTTCCAGGGATCCGGATCTTTCCAGAAAACCACACAAAAACCCGGGGGGGAAATGGATCTGGCTGTTGAAAAGAACGATGGCTGAAAAGAATGGACAAGGAATCAACCCCTAGAAGCATCGCTCGAGAGGAGAAACTTCCACGGGTGCCCAATGAAAAAAACAAATCCCCAGGTTGCCTGGCACAGGGAATTGGTCCCAAGAGGTAACAAATCTTCCAGGGGCCTCCCAATGTTCTAGGGGTTGATTCCTTGTCCATTATTTTCAACAAAAACAGCACGTTTTCCCTGGGTTGCGGGCTTCCATGTCCATTCGTTCCAGGGATCCGGATCTTTCCAGAAAACCACACAAAAACCCGGGGGGGAAATGTATCTGGCTGTTGAAAAGAACGATGGCTGAAAAGAATGGACAAGGAATCAACCCCTAGAAGCATCGCTCGAGAGGAGAAACTTCCACGGGTGCCCAATGAAAAAAACAAATCCCCAGGTTGCCTGGCACAGGGAATTGGTCCCAAGAGGTAACAAATCTTCCAGGGCGCCTCCCAATGTTCTAGGGGTTGATTCCTTGTCCATTATTTTCAACAAAAACAGCACGTTTTCCCTGGGTTGCGGGCTTCCATGTCCATTCGTTCCAGGGATCCGGATCTTTCCAGAAAACCACACAACCCGGGGGGGAAATGGATCTGGCTGTTGAAAAGAACGATGGCTGAAAAGAATGGACAAGGAATCAACCCCTAGAAGCATCGCTCGAGAGGAGAAACTTCCACGGGTGCCCAATGAAAAAAACAAATCCCCAGGTTGCCTGGCACAGGGAATTGGTCCCAAGAGGTAACAAATCTTCCAGGGCGCCTCCCAATGTTCTAGGGGTTGATTCTTTGTCCATTATTTTCAACAAAAACAGCACGTTTTCCCTGGGTTGCGGGCTTCCATGTCCATTCGTTCCAGGGATCCGGATCTTTCCAGAAAACCACACAAAAACCCGGGGGGGAAATGGATCTGGCTGTTGAAAAGAACGATGGCTGAAAAGAATGGACAAGGAATCAACCCCTAGAAGCATCGCTCGAGAGGAGAAACTTCCACGGGTGCCCAATGAAAAAAACAAATCCCCAGGTTGCCTGGCACAGGGAATTGGTCCCAAGAGGTAACAAATCTTCCAGGGCGCCTCCCAATGTTCTAGGGGTTGATTCCTTGTCCATTATTTTCAACAAAAACAGCACGTTTTCCCTGGGTTGCGGGCTTCCATGTCCATTCGTTCCAGGGATCCGGATCTTTCCAGAAAACCACACAAAAACCCGGGGGGGAAATGGATCTGGCTGTTGAAAAGAACGATGGCTGAAAAGAATGGACAAGGAATCAACCCCTAGAAGCATCGCTCGAGAGGAGAAACTTCCACGGGTGCCCAATGAAAAAAACAAATCCCCAGGTTGCCTGGCACAGGGAATTGGTCCCAAGAGGTAACAAATCTTCCAGGGCGCCTCCCAATGTTCTAGGGGTTGATTCCTTGTCCATTATTTTCAACAAAAACAGCACGTTTTCCCTGGGTTGCGGGCTTCCATGTCCATTCGTTCCAGGGATCCGGATCTTTCCAGAAAACCACACAAAAACCCGGGGGGGAAATGGATCTGGCTGTTGAAAAGAACGATGGCTGAAAAGAATGGACAAGGAATCAACCCCTAGAAGCATCGCTCGAGAGGAGAAACTTCCACGGGTGCCCAATGAAAAAAACAAATCCCCAGGTTGCCTGGCACAGGGAATTGGTCCCAAGAGGTAACAAATCTTCCAGGGCGCCTCCCAATGTTCTAGGGGTTGATTCCTTGTCCATTATTTTCAACAAAAACAGCACGTTTTCCCTGGGTTGCGGGCTTCCATGTCCATTCGTTCCAGGGATCCGGATCTTTCCAGAAAACCACACAAAAACCCGGGGGGGAAATGGATCTGGCTGTTGAAAAGAACGATGGCTGAAAAGAATGGACAAGGAATCAACCCCTAGAAGCATCGCTCGAGAGGAGAAACTTCCACGGGTGCCCAATGAAAAAAACAAATCCCCAGGTTGCCTGGCACAGGGAATTGGTCCCAAGAGGTAACAAATCTTCCAGGGCGCCTCCCAATGTTCTAGGGGTTGATTCCTTGTCCATTATTTTCAACAAAAACAGCACGTTTTCCCTGGGTTGCGGGCTTCCATGTCCATTCGTTCCAGGGATCCGGATCTTTCCAGAAAACCACACAAAAACCCGGGGGGGAAATGGATCTGGCTGTTGAAAAGAACGATGGCTGAAAAGAATGGACAAGGAATCAACCCCTAGAAGCATCGCTCGAGAGGAGAAACTTCCACGGGTGCCCAATGAAAAAAACAAATCCCCAGGTTGCCTGGCACAGGGAATTGGTCCCAAGAGGTAACAAATCTTCCAGGGCGCCTCCCAATGTTCTAGGGGTTGATTCCTTGTCCATTATTTTCAACAAAAACAGCACGCTTTCCCTGGGTTGCCGGAGATTTTCTAGAAAGAAGGATCCCTGGAAAGAATGGGGAAGGTGCCAGTAGAAAACTTGCTCTGTTCTGCCTCAAACTTGGGGAACACCCCCAGAAAACATGAGTCGTTTGTCCCTTTCGCTCCACTTTGTACAACCACTCAGAGAATGGTATCTTAAGACACCCCCACCTGTTGAACCAGTTTTGTTTTGGGAGGGGGAGAAATAAGGTACCCTAAAGCACACCCGCCTGCTTAACCAGTGCTTTTTGGGGGGGAGGGTTGGGAAACCTAAGTGGGACCCTTGCCAAGGTGTCTCGCTCTACTCCGAGAGGGAAGTTCTGTTTGACCGGCTATGCCTGCTCTCTTTTTCTTGGGCGAGGGGAGCGTCGCTATTTTTTAAGGGTTGCATTGCTTCCTACATCTTCCTACTGTTTGACCACAAGAAGAAAAGGTACTGCATTCCGTTCCAAGGGGGAAGGGGCAAAACCGGTGGAAAATCCCCCTTTGGGCACCTAGAGAACCCCTGAGCTGGTAAGCTGTTGTTTCACACAGGCTCGCAAAGGTTAAACAGGGTACGGGTCAAAATAGGGCGGGCCAAAAACAGCTTGTTTCCTGTTGGTGTCCCTTTAAAACATTCCTGCAAAAGGAGTACCCTCAACAAAACACGCACCCATTGCATGGACATTCCCCAAAAAGGGCTCCTCAACAAAATACACACCCAGTACAGGACCGCTCATGAAGATCAGCAAATGGAATAGCAATCTGAAGTGCCTCTACGTGCATGCCCTTCACAGGCATGCGCTGACAGTTCCGATCGCAGCACAGCGCACATGTGGGGTTAAATAGGTGTCCAATGCATTTCCTATCTTATGAAGACTCTAAATGAAGGATCTCCTATCATCTTGTTTTTACCGTAGAAAATGCTTGGCTTGAAGGGAATTGGGTGACAGACAGCGGTAACTCCCAAGAGTTGGGCCGCGAGAAAGAGTTAATTGGCTGTGAGAAGGTGTCCATGAAATCCAAGATGGACATGACTTGAGAACGAGAAAGTGATTGCGAAAGCATTCCCATTATAAATGCACATCCTATTTTCACCTTTCTATTTAGTCGTCAGTCTGAGATTTGGCCAAGATAGAAGGACATAAAGAAGAACTCCAAAAGAAAAGAACATATTAACAAAAATGACAGTAACTACTTTTGGAATCAAGATGCTTGAATATGTTTCTTGTATGAGATCCATCTCTTGTAAGCTACTTTTGGATGTTGAAGATGGTGGTCTTCAGATCGGGGCCAGCCAAAAAATGATGGGTTTCAACTATTGAACTTCCACCCACTTGCGTGCAACCCATGTCCATGGATGGTTCGGGTTGCGTTTCTGATCCGGGATCTGCCCCGAAGGGTTTAAAGCGCAGCTGCCCAGGAACTCGCGCAGCGGCTTTGGATGCCGCTCAGCTAATGTTTCTTGGCTTGCTCAAACCAATACTGTGGGTGGACCAAATCCATAAAACGCACCACCGTTCAGAATCCCTAGCATGACGATTCCCCAACGCAAATACCAACAATCAATGATTTCAACCATGGTTTCCAAGTGGTGCAGGATTTTGTCCACCCACAGTATGGGGGGTAGTTTCAAAACAAACCACCCCCCAAAGGCTTGCAGGTGCAGCCGCAACCAAAGGACCGGACATAATTTGAGAAAAACGTCGAAAGGCATCACTGGGTTTCCCCTTCATGTTGACCCTATATTCATCAACCCCTGTTTATTAATAGGGGGTGTTTCCCTCCAAAAGTGGTCTGATTCCCCACTAAACCAGACCCTATTGAGAAACAGGGGGGTCAGGTCAAAATGAAGTTGCTGCATTGATAAACAGGGGTCAATTAACTCGGTTGCTTTCTGTTCCCCTGCTAAAGTTTAACTTTTAGTGGTTTAGTGGAAAACCCATTAGTTGGCAAAAAGTTCAAGTCCTAACATCCCTTGGCAAAATGCACCAAAGTTAATATGGGGTCAGGTCAAAATGAAGTTGCTGCTTTTCCTGGTGAGTTCCAGTGAACTCGCCAGTTACCCACGCAGCTTTCCCCTCGCGCGCGTTTCCCGCTGGCCTCTCCGTCTCCCAGGCGGAAGGTAGCATCGGCCGTCCTGCCCGAATCCCGAAACGCAGCGAGCCGCTGCCTCTGACCAACTCACTGGCTGAGTGGATGACCAAAAAAAAGTGCAAACTTGATATTTACCACTAAAATGGTCCCAACAAGTTGTATTTAGTTCATGAACTCAGGAAGTGAGCCAAACAGCATCTGAGAAGAAAGCGAAGGAACTGGGAAACTCAGTGCACACGTCGAGGCTACAATCCCTGGCAGGACCAAGTGGGTTGCATAAGATAGAATAGGTCTTGGAAAGGAAGATGTCGTTCAGCCTTGACCTGCCCTCTTGTAGAGTTGCTGAGAGGACGCCGGGTGCCGGTTCCTGAGTTTCCGGCAGTGTATTCACTTCAGGTGGTTGCTTCGTCCGCAAATGACCCCATAAGGAATCGAGCAGCAATGGCAACATGTCTAACCTTCGTAACATGCACCAAGGAGACCGACTCATGGGCCATTTGCCTCAAAACCAAACATCCTGAATGGACATGAGTGCAAGGGAGCACTTCATCCACAGCCTAACATGGAACCTGACGTTCGGAAAATGGTCGCATCAAACGGAACATGATCCAACCAGGACTCCCGAACATGAGGCTCCATGTGAAAAGGGTGGGAGGGTATCGATGCTTGCCAGCTGAAAGCCTCAAAACAACCCGTCAGTCCAGAGAAACTTATCGCTGCCCAGCCAGCTGCTCTGGATGAAGCGGTAGCCCCAGTGGGGCCCGTAATGCCCGAAGTACCGCTTCGAGTATCTGGGCGGCGGAAACCACAGGCCCTCAGAAAAAAAAAAGAAAAAAAGAAGAAAACAAAACATTCCCGACTTACTAGCAGTACCGTGGACATTCCGTTCCGGTGCAGACCACTTGGGAAGCCTAGGCAGTCCAGAAGGCCATGTGTCGGGAAGGCAGTTGAAGCTTTGGAAACCCAGTGGCAAAGCTTTGGTTTCATTGTTTCAAAGGATCCCAAGAAAAGGCAAGCAAATCCAACCCTGCTGAAAAATATCAAGGGCCAGCAAATCCAACCCATGCTGAAAAAGGCGAGCATACACAAATTGAAAGAAGGTGTCCACTGAATTTTCTGGGGCCTGGGCAATGCCAATGCAAGCTGCAACTTGTTTCCCCAGGCAACTGCCTCAGCAAACGCACAGAACACACTGTTTCTCGGGAAGGACTAGCAACAAGAACCAAATGCACGGCCTATTCGATGACCTTTGCGGCGGTTTGGCATAAATACTTGCCAAATGCATATTTGGGTGTGGCTCAAAATCAAAGAGCCAGGATTACGCAGGTTTTAGTCTTTGTTTCCAATTGCCAGGGTTCCATTTTGGAATTCCTGGTTTTTGAGCCACAGCCATTTGTCCGTGGGATTGGGCGAGCCGCTGCTAGATAGTTTTTGCCAAAGGGCCTTCATGGAGGCCGCACTAAACAGCTCCCGAGATGCCGGGGTACAAAGTGCTACCTGCGGGTGCCCAGATTGTGTATTTCTTATTGTCCCCTGGTGTTAAAGGGAATCGACAATTGTCTCTCTCATTTTTCCAAGAGGCGAATTACTTGAAAATGAGCAATTGCATTGAACCATGCCCGCGGGTACCTGAAGCCTGCAGCCCCCATCAGCGAACCATCAGCCAAGGCACCCGCGGCCGACACGAGTACGACCATCATACCTCAAGTTGGTTAAGCTGCTTGCACACCCAGCTGCTCAACTTTGCCAATCTTGGTATGTCAAGTAAGTGTTGTCCGAAACTGAGGGGAGCTTCTAGTGGTGCTTTCCTGTGACCTTGCGCCATCTGCCCCCTGCCGGGCAAGAATGGCCCAATGCAAAGCCCGGCATTCTCTTATGGCTTCAAATTGGTTTTTGTGGATTGTGCTTTGACTTGCGGGTGTCTAGCCATGGGTTTTGGTCAGCCGGAAAAACACTGGCCAGGGTGGGCCAAAATACATCCGGCTTATAAAGTAAGGGCACTTTTGCCATTCATATTTATCCAAGCGGTACCTTCTGGGATGATGTCATTGGGACACTTCGAGACGAACCACGCGCCCAACAACACATCCCACTGCCCCCCAGAGAATGGACTTGTGGTCCTAAAATTTGAGTTGTACAGTGTAGACCAAACTAGGCCTTACCTCACTTGCGAAATTTGCGAAGCCCTGCTAAAAGTGATTAACTTTTAGTGGTTTAAGTCGGAAAACCCATTCGTTGGCAAAAAGTTAAAGTCCTAACATCCAAGCAAAGTGCAAAGTTACCTTTAAAACAGGGTACCTATAACATGATATGTTTGGTTGTGCAGCTTTATGTAGGCATCACTAATCCTCACCCAAGACACGTACCTCAAACACTCACATAAAGAAAGGTTAACCTTTTGGGTCCACGACTAAAAATGGATTGAAATGAGGGAAGCCAAAAGGTCGAAAGGTCGGCTTCGCTTTGGGCAAGTGAGAACATGACCCACCGGACTCCAGCCGCTTTTTAGTTGGCACTCAACTTACTTGGTTGACGTTGGGTTTGGGGAGCACAAATTCTATTTGTTTAGCAGTTAAGTGGTTGGATTTCAACCACCAAGCCACAATAAGATCAAACATGGGAAAAATGTTTCCCAACAACAACCATCAACAGGGCATCAACCGCACATTCATGACACCTTGGAATTCCTATCGATCGAAGGCCCCCGGGTAAGGTCGCTTGACTTTCATGGGGCTCATGCACGAACATGGAAGAACCTCACCGAATTCCTAGGGACGGCAACAATATGCAAAAATCGGCAAAATATGCAACATATGCAAAAAATCGGCTAATATTCCTAGGGGCGGCAAAATATGTCAGGGACGGCCAAAATTTCGCCGGGCTGCGTCATGCTGAGCTCCAAGTCCGGCCGATGGATCACCAGCTCATCCCTCATGCCCGCCGGCAGCCAGGAGTAGACCTCTCGCTACGCTCGCTCCCAACCCGGAGGAGCTGGACCCGGAGGATGTTGGTTTGAGGTGGGTGGGCCAAATCCAAAAATAAACACCACCTAAAAATACCCTGAGGTAGAATGTTGACCCCTGTTTCTTCAATCAACCCCCCAATGTATTAATTACTGGGGTAGTGTCCCTACTAAACCCAAGGTAATTAACCCCAGTTCATTGATGGGGGTTGTGGGTGGACCAACACCAACAAACAATGGTTTCCCGTGGTTCCAAGTGGCACACCACAGTATTAATTAACCCGGGGTGTCCCCTCCAAAAGCGATGATCCCCCACTAAACCAGGGACACCGCCCTATGAATCAACTGAGTCGCAATCAAAACCTGGTACTAAAAGGTCGATCCCCAGAGCCATCTACAGGATTAAGAAGGCGGATATCCGCAGCTATTTATGGTTGGGATCGTCCCTTTCTAACCTTTATCTACCCAGGTTTTGATTGTGATCAATATGGGGTCAACATTAAACCCTGCAAGCGGTTTCCCACTAGGACCACGGGTTCAGATCAAATTCAACAACCACTCGGGGGGTATCCTGACAAACAGCTCCAGGAAATAGCCACGCAAGAGTCAAGGGAAGATTTGGCTATGTGCACCGTGCCAGCACCAAACATACATCCCATCCAACCAGATGAGGGTAAGCTATGGTAAGTTAGGAGGCTCAGACCCGTGATATCACTTGTCGTGCCTATGCCTATACCTTGCTGCCAGACATGGATTTTGGCATCGCAAAATGTGGCCCCAAAAAATAAAACAAAGAGGCTGCACAAAAAATTGCCTTTCGAATGTAAAGGGAAACCAAAGTTGCACCCGTGGGTTGCAACAAAGAAGGGTTTGAATGGGTCAAACGGGGCCCTCTGGGCGAAGCCTCTAGCTGGGCTCGAGAAGAACTTCGCAGATATATATACATATATGCATATATATATATGCATATACAACAGGTTCTCAAAATGTTAGACGCATCTTTGGATCCGTTTGGGTGGGTTTTACAGAGGAACTACAAGGAAACCAACCATTTCACGGGACCCTCGTTTTAAGAAACACCCACATGTATAATCATGTGTATATCTATATATATATATATTTATGTATCTCCTCACTTGTTGCTGGTCCCCTAGTATAATCCAAATGCACCTTGCGCGGATACTCCTCAAGGGCTGGAGGCTGTGGTTCTTCGGTTGGAGAAGGTGGGGGGGATCGCACATGCAAAGGCGACCTACTGTGGATGGACAAAATCCATTTCGCACCACCTAAGAAACCCTGAAATGATGATTCCCCTGTAAAAAACAACAAACGTTGTGGTTTCAACCATGGTTTCAAAGTGGTGCAGGGTTTCGTCCATCCACAGCATGGTATCGCCACTAAGTTGTGCAACCCAGGGCACGTGCCGATTCTTGAACTCGATGGCCATGTCCTGTCAGCTGCTGAGTGGTCCGAGGCCCTACACAGAAGCGAAGGCACCAGCAAAAGGCGACTTTTAAGGATACATCCTCTGAGTCTGCCGATGCAGGTGCTTTTCTCAATTGGCGGCCAACATGCATCGTAGGAACCTGAGCAAGCAAAGTCAAGGTATTGTCATTCGCCCAAAGGCTCACAACTTGGGCCGGGGCCTTCATACAAGGAGCTATTTGCGGGGAGCCAAAAACCCCTGTTCAAAGCAACAAGCTACGAACAAAGAAGGAATACTCTAAGTTCACTTACCCAAGGACCCAGAAATAAAAGGTTAACCTTTGGGGTCCATGACTAAAATTGACCAAATCAGGGAAGCCAAAAAGGTTGAAAGGTCGATTCGCTTTGGGCAAGTGAGTAAGGGTCATCGAAGCTGACAAGGGCGTGGGACGACTGTCTTTTGGGTGCAATCCCTCCCGCTACTTCCACTGGAAAGAGGGCTTCTCCTCAAACTTTGGGTTTTGCTTTGGGAGCCGGGTCCTGGGCGTTACAAAAAAAAACCCAGAGTGTTGCTGAGAAAGGCGCGGCCCCTTTTCTGGCTTGAAAGCGAAATTCCCAAAACAGACACCCACCCATTCTTGCGGATCCCCCTACTCATGCTGATTCTAGTTCGTCTAGCCAAATGACCAAAGCTTAAAGCAGACCCCAAAAAACATGTTGCCCTCGTTGCGGCCGCTCCTTGCCGAGCGCCAGCTTGCCGCCCCCCGGGCCATCGGAAATCTGAAGCCTGGGGCCCTGCACCGACAGGTGCTCCCCCTGGCGAACCCGAGGCGCGACGTGAAGCGAGGAGAAACCGTCAACTGAGTCGCGATCAAAACCGATTGGTACTAAAATGGTCGATCCCCAGAACCATGCTTCAGGAATTAAGAAGGCGGATATCCGCAGCTATTTATTTTGTTGGGATCGTCCCTTACTAACCTTCATCTGCCCTGGTTTTGATTGTGGCTCAACTCATCCACACCTGCCTTGGGGGGAGGGGGGGTGTGGTAGGGGCTGGGACCCAATTCCATTTTCCGATAGGGCAAATGGAACCCGAAGTGGAATTCGCCCTCCCCGCAGTCCGTTTCAAGGGGGGGATGCTACGCGGAAAAAAACCTGCGCTCCAACCAGAGCCCAACAAATGAATGAATGAACATATGAGACATGTGACAAAAAATGCAGAAAGCAAACAAGCAAATCAGCAAGAACGCACGCATAGCATGTATGGGAAGAAGCCATGGATGACAAAGCCCGAGCTCAAAGTATGGCAAAACCCGAGAGGTTTTAACCACCCGCAGCGCCCCCAAGGCCAAGCACATAGTTGGGTCCCAGTCTGCGCTTCACTGCAAGGCTCACCATGCAGGGATCTGAGTGCAGAGCGCGCAGTGCTAAAACCTATGAGCCTATGAGTCAAGGATACTCATTGAAGTTGCTCCCTACGCCTCGGCATAGCAAGGGATGGAAACATCTAGCTGTTGGAGTCACCCCGCCGCCATTATGATGCAAATACCACTGCCATCATGTCAACATGAGTTTGCTGCTTGCGAGCATCAACTTAAACAGTCCATAAATACAGATTGGATGGAGTGTATTCAACTCGTGCCATTGATCCAATCCTTGGGACGCTTGAAATGGAACCTGAGATTCTCAGGCTTCGATCCCGAAAGATTTTGAAGGATCACCTCTTGCGTTTGAGTTGCCCCAGTGGAAAAAAAGTGATCACCCTTCGGGACCACATAAAATGGAATAAGGCGAACCCCACGGGTGAGCAGGTCGGCTTTGGGCAACCGTACTCGGTTGCTTTCTGCTCCCCTGCTAAAAGTTTAACTTTTAGTAGTTTAGTGGAACACCCATTAGTTGGCAAAAAGTTAAAGTCCTAACAGCCAAGCAAAATGCGCCAAAGGGTACGTTGCCTTTGAGTTGCTGTGGTACTGCTTCGAGGTACACTGGGGACGACTCAACAGCCTGCAGCACTCGAATCGACGGGACGCGGGACGCGCGGCGCGGGGCGCGCCTCGGACTGCTGCAGCCGCTCCTTGCTGTTCTCTAGCCTGGGGCCAACTGGGGACTACCAGGGGGCGTTCCTGGCCATGTTTCTCTAAGCAAACCTCTGTTGGGGAAATCATACCAGTGGGCAGGAGGGACACCTCAACGAACACTCACCCATAACCCATAGCGACTATGTACCCATAACGTCAGCCAAGTGGGCTTAAGGAAGTCAACCCCAGCTTTGGGCGTTAACACTGACCTTGGTGTGCGGCAAATATGTCAATCGTCCGGACAAAGGGCAAAACATATCTGAGGAGTTTTGTGTTTTGTGAGTGTGTGGGGTCCACAAAGTAGGAAGCCTTTGGGCTCCCTTCAAGATGACATATGTGTTTTTTTGATTTTTGTGGTTGAAGGAAAGGGGCATGGGGTCCGAAATGGGTCTTGCCAGTTGCTCGAGATCCAACTTCTCTTTGGCTGCCTCGCGATTTATAGCGTCACGGGACAAAGCTTTGGATAGACTAGATGTTCAGCCGGGCAAAGAACCGTAAAATACGAAGCAACGCGTGCCAACCAATCCAGAGCCCAATCCCACCCAATCCAACCCCAGTCCATTTGGTCCCACTCCAAGCCATTCCGATTTATTCATTCCATTCGACCCGTCCTTCCCATCTACTTGTTTATAGTTTATCCTGCACGGGGTTGCGCCTCAAGAGCCACGAAACCGCCTGGTTCTTCAGCAGGACCCTCTAAGGGGAGACGCCCTTCGCCATTCCTCATAGTTCCCTTCAAGGGGATCCATTGGTTCATTCCCAAAATCCCTTTGGATTCCAAAAAAAGGTTTGTTCAAAATGCGGGGATCTCTAATCTTCGTCCGCAACCCGTACAATAACAACAAGGGAAGCATAGGAAAGCCACTACCATCTGGCAGAATGAAACAGCGCGGGTGATCCCAACATTGAAATTCACACAATAGAACCCTGGATGAATAAACCACCGGTTGATCAGTCAGGGGTGTCCCCTTTTGGAGGGGAATCCTACGCGTTTGTGGGAAACACCCCCCCTTGAAATGATTCATATTGACAAATCCGGGGTTGACATTGCAAGTAGTTGATTCTGAAGCTCCTTCCGGAAAAAAAAAAAGGACAACACACACACACACACAGACACCCGCGCTGTTGCTTCGGGGCTTTTAAGGCGCGTTCTCTGAAACGAAAGATCCCTGAATGGGGAAGTTCACTCCTTCTGGTACCTTGCCACCTATGGTTGGCCCTTGCCGCCTGTGGTTGGGGGGGGTGTTGACGCTGCATTTGCAGATGTTTGCTGTGTCCATCCCATTAATCTTCACCAACCCCAAACGGCGGGCCCTTTGCCTCGCGGCCTCGCGTTCGCTCGCGTTTTGGCGCCGGGAGGCTCCACGACCTTCTGCGTGGCATGGTCAAAAATCCAGAGGGAGTGCTCCTCTAAGCTGGGCGTCAAGAAGACCCGCGCCTGCCAATGGGCCAAGCCGCCAGGCGCGAGCAAAAAATCGGAGGTCGCTTCTGGCCAAATTCCCGGGAGAGCTTGCAAAAATCGCGTGGCATTTTTTGGCGGGCAAAAGGGCGATGCGGTTTGCAAATGACCTCACTTGACTCCTCCCCCCCACCCCCCGGCAAGCCCTTGCAACTGGCATTGTCATTGGCTGACAAAACACCTAGGAGGCCCCCGGCCGAGGCGACAGCAACAGCCCCCCCGCCTGCACAAACATGTCCTCGAAGAAGAAGTGGTATTGCAGCATGTCGTGCCAGCCCGCGGGCCAACGTGGCAGTCCGGAGCCTCCCGCAAGCCAAATCAATGGATGCTCAACATGTATGAAACAGAACGACCTGAGCAGAACTAGCGAAACTTTCCGACTATGGGCGACATTTGGGAAACCAAATGAAGTTTCCGGAAACGCTTTCAGGTACTCGTGCACGGTCAAACGCATTTGCTTTGGACTGCATTCCAGGCGGGAAATTGCATTCTCAAACCGGCCAGGGACCAGCCCCCAGCCCCCAAATCTTACAAAACGCCTTGCCACTTTCACCCAGACCCCAAACACCCCCTCTCCCAAAAACAAAGATGAGCAATGGCACCTGCATGTTTGAACCCCTCCCCAAACCAAACAATAAAAAATAACACCAACATCTTTGTAGTTGGCTTCTCGGTCTCCCCAGCACCCGCTTTCGCCTGCGGCCTCCGCTTTGGGCATATCCGGGCCCAGCGACATGAAGCGAAGGCCAAGGCGTGGCCGAAGCCCTGGCGTCTCGCTGGTGCGATAGGCAGGGGACGCGAGAAATGGAATGACCAGGACTTTTGGGCTCATTCCCACATTCCCTACTGAGCGCCAGCAAGAAAAACTCAACAACTGACAAAGATGACCCTCTATTAACAAAACATGATTCAACACGTGGAACAACTTAGCACGTGTTAGATGGTTTGCAGCGGAAGGCCGCTGCAATCCTCCGACACTCACTTATTGGAAAGTCAGAACGTTTATCAGCACATGGGCATTTACAGTAGGGCGCAACAAATAGAAACTACTGGGTCTGAAGCTGACACAAAGCCGGAACGTCAATGGCTGCCAACATGGGACGTGAAGTGTTGCCCTTCGAGCTATCATGGGTGTGATTGTTTCACCCGCCATAAGTGCAGCAGGTTGTCCTTTTTCCCAGCCCCAAAAGTTGCTCTCCCAACTCCCCACAGACTCACATTCCAAACTGGATTCCACTCCCCCCACAGCATGTGCAAGATTCGTGCCTCTAAGCCCCAGTCGGAGAGCGGCCATGATCTACAAAAGACTCAAAGCCAATGGCAGCGGCGCAGGAATTTTGACCACCCAGTCATCCCCCAAGTGTCCAAGAGCACATGCAAGCAGGACATAGGAATCCAATGAACCCTCAGCTTGATTACTCTGGGGTCACATTGGGCAAATCTGATGTGAGGTGTGCAAAGTGGTCCCTTAATAGTCCAACAGCAGGACCGATTCCGCAACGTCGAACGGGTCCATGTTAGTCGGGGTAACCCAAACAGAAACATGTCCTTTACACGGTCCTGATTTTCCTGGTCGGGAGAACCTTGGGAGGTTCGGAGTGCCAACCTGCAAACGTGACAAACATGGAGCAAACCCAAAAGGGAGGGGAAAAAGGTGTAGGTCTTTGTCACATTGGACTATCATCCATTGAATCATTGTACACCATGGCACACTTTACTATGAGGATGATATGCACGCTTTGCTCTGCATTACAGTAAGACAGGACGGGCCTTAATTGGTGTATTGAATTGGTGGTCTGGGGTGTGAGCCCCTGGCTTGTTGGTACGAGTACCAAATGGAAAGGTACCAACCTCCAACTCGCCAAGCCAAACCCCCAATCACTGCCACGTGGTCGTCGAAAAGCAACCTTTCTGTGATGCCAAAGTGGGCTTCACCGGTAACCGCCTTATCACTCTCCAAAGGTGGGCCTCTTGGTATCCTAGAGGCTCACTGGCACACAAAGATCATTTTGTGCCGTTCACAAACCATGGAAAGGACCAATAAAGGAAACCACCAGGGAAGCCCAAACCAACAAACACCCACCCACCCACACACACACACACATCCAGCTACACACACACAGCCACACCTAAAGCAGTGGACCGACAGATCGACCCGTCGCTTAAGTCTCAGCTTGGCCCCGGGATCTGCCAAGAAGGTCTCGGCCAGCTCCTAGGCTGTGGGCTTGGAAGATGATCCCAGGAGTCAACCCCAATGCTCCCAGGATTCAACCCCGCCCCAACCCCCTCCTTCCAAAGGACCCCAACAATATCTGGCTGCCGTAGTCGGGGAGATGGGTATCCTTCCAAAGCTAGACCCCAACAAGATCTGGCTGTAGTGGGGGAAATGGGTCCTGTGGATGGTTGCGAAGTCCATCAAACGCACCGTTCAGAATCCCTGGCATGATGACCGAGTCCCCGACATAAATATCAACAAACGTTATGGCTTCAAGCATGGTTTCCAAGTGGTGCGAAATGGATTTTGTCCATCCACGGTAGGAGACACTCGGACCCGGAAAAAGGAGAAAAAGCGAAGCCGAGTTTCCATCCCAAAAGTTTTGCACCCCATTTTCGCAAGATAAGAAACCAAGATGTTCCCAAACAAGTTTTGGTGAGTTTCCATCACTCAACATTGCCTGCATTACATATCCCGTAAAGGGTACCAACTCAAAAACGACACAACCATGTATTGAGCTGGGCAAGTGACTGGGCAAATAAAGGAAAACCAACAATAAGGCAACCCAAGGGACTCGGTTGGGTGAGGGTATTCGACCCAGTGGGCTCCATAGCCCGGGTTCATCTGAATGAGTGAAACCCTTGGTTGACGTTGGAAGGGGAGCAAACATTCTAAAAAAATAGCAGTTAAGTGGTTGGATCTGAACCACCAAACCACAATAAGCAAAAATGCAAAATGTTTCTCAACAACAACCATGAACAGGGCATCAACCGCACATTCATGAAACGTTGGAATTCCTATCGATCCCGCCCCTGGGTAAGGTCGCTTGACTTTTGACATGGGGCTCATGAACGAACATGGAAGAACCTCGCCTAATTCCTATGTCAGGGACAGCATATAGCTCATGACGCAAGCGTATGCAGCCGGATTCGATCAGCCCCCCGATCAACTCCAGGCTCCATCAGAAGCTGAAAGTAGACAACAAAAGGTGACCGTGCACAAGGGTTCGTCAAACATGCGTAGGAGTTCATTTGGGAGAACTTCCGCTTTGAGAGAAATCTCCTCTTGGCACGTTGGGTCCCATGTTGTGCAGTGGTCCTGCCTCTCACGGCCGCAAGGCCATTGGCCATTGGAGTTCTTGCAGCTGCGTGTGCTGACTCATGCAAACAAACCTCAATGCAAGGTTTTTTTTCAAAGGCCCTGAATGCTCCTTGATGACCAATTCCTCAAAGTCACTACTCGCAATGAGGTTGCAGTAGCACCCCTTGCGCAGGCTTCGAAACAGTGACTCGAGGGTATTGTCAAGGATGCTCCGGCTCTTGTTCAGCGGTTTGCTTCACTACCCACGGTTCAACAAACAGCCAACGCAGTGGTCATAACATACCTAGCTATACATGTTCAAATGCATTGCATGCAAGGCACGTATCATTCTAAGGGTACCTTCCCCATTCTCGGAAACAGCTGGTTTTTGAAAAGAACGATGGTTGAAAAGAATGGAAAAGGAGCCAACCCCTAGAGTCATGAGCCAAGTCTCTCCATCCAGCTTGCCCTCGTCCACGAGTTCCTGCAAGTGCTCTGCATGCTCCTGAGCCGCCGAGCCGCTTCCCCCAACCCATGGAGCGGCTGAATCCAACAGCTGACGAGACGATGACTCACTTCCAAATAAGTTGGATCCTGGTGCGGATTTATAAAACCCCCCGTTGATTAATCTGGGGGCGTTTGTGGTCTTAGTGGGATTCAGACCACTTTTGGAGGGGAACGTGCCCATAGTCATAAGGGGTTTATTCATCCGGGGTCATTAGATACTTCACTTCATGACTGAAATGGGTTTAAATAGCTCCACTGCGCCGTGCAAGCTGCACCCCTGTCAGATTCTTGCCGTAAAGGGTGCTCGAAATAGCAAGCCGGTAGCAAGCCACGCCTAACACTTGAAGAGAACATATAAGACAGGGCTCCTTGTTCTGTTTCCCTTTCACTCTCGGGAGGAACCTCCGTAAGAAGTTTTGACGAAATTTGTGAAGAACCCAAAGCGCTTCACAGCCGCACCTACTTATACCACCCTACAAGTGGACTTCATTGTGGCCTACTGTTGGCGGATATTCTTTGCGTACCGCATTCTCTGAGGGCCATGCTTGTCCTGCGAACGAAACCCAGAGAGTGGGTGCTTGGTAAAGCCTTTGGGTTCAACCCTGGTTGACGCTATTTGGATGATGACAATCCTTAGGTAAACAATGGTGGTTATATGAACCCCCATTGTTTGAATGGTGGTAACTGAACCCTACTGTGGATGGACGAAATCCATTTCGCACCACCTAAAGAACCCTGGAATGATGATTCACCTGTAAATTCCAACAAGCATAACTGAACCCTAGGGTAAAGGAACTTTAAACATGTCCCTGGCGCAGCTGGGGAAAGCCACCCGAGCCGAGTCGAGCGCTTGCCTTGAAGAGCGCGCAGTCCAGCTCGCCTGCGCGCGACTCGACTCGGAACCTACCCGCAACCTGGCAGAACCGAAGGAAAACTCGGATCTCTTGGCGAAACCTCAGTTGAATCTTCACTTTACATAAGTGTTGCAACCAGATCCCTTGGCTAAACCTCAGTTGAATTACACAATTTCCCAGAGGCTCCTGGCTTCGGCTTTCAATGGAAGACCCGACTCCATTGGACACCCCGCGAATCGGTGGTTACTCTCAAAACCTGGCTGTTTGAGGGCCCAAGACATCGGGAGTCTCGTTGAATCTAACTTTGCGTAAGGTGGTGTAACATCTTGCAACAGATGCGTTGTTGCAACCTTTCGGAGCCTTTAAGCATGGGCCGGCCTTTTGGTTGTTCAGGTTTACAGCTCTCACTCGACCAGGTGAGCTTCATGGCACTAAGTGGGAAAGAAAGAACGTCTGGCCACGTTTCTGAAATGCATGCGCATGGAAGTCCCGGGGCCGAGCGATGCGACTTCGACTTGCTGCTTCAATCGAGTTTCTGCAAGTACGTCAAGATGCTTTTGCCGCCCGCTTGGAACAGCACAACCAAGAAACGCAGAAAAAAATGACGCGAAGCTTTCAGTCATGCCAGGGCAAAGCCCTGGGGCCCTGGTGCATAAGCTGTCAGTGGTTGGGTTGACCATGCTTTTATTGGGAGACCACAGGGTTTGAAGGGACCTGGTATATATTGTTCAACTGGCTTCGGCCGTGGCCGCGTGACCCCGCCTCAGTCTATTTAAAAGCAACCCGATTTTTGTTTTTGAAAATTTATTTATTTTAAAGAGCGCTGGTGTGGAATGCTCACCAACGGCTTTGGCCGACAATCTTGAAACAACGTCTCTGAAGGAGACCACTCATCCGAAGCCAGGTTGTCCCGATTAAACGAGCCGTATGCACTTGGATGCCCTCAATCACTGCCAAGTGCGAAGCAAACTCAAGAGTCTGCCGCTGACCACACCACGTTCGTAACCTGTTGAGTTCATTGACTGGCCAGAAACATTGTTCATATTTTTGGGCCTTGACTGAAAAAAGTGAAAAGTGATTTGTGTTTGTTCGTATTTTCTTGTTAAATCTACCAATCAAAGCACGTATGCGTGGGTCAACTTCGGGGGTGCACAAGGTTTCTATAAGGCAACTCATCTAGCCAATCTTATGTTTGCACCTAGGCACGACCTGCTAGTTCTTCAGCAGCGCTCTGCATTGATCTGGCCCCATTGTTTTACCATGATCAAAGTCACCCCCTAAGTGGTGGGTTTAAGGGGAAACTGCCCCATTTTCTGACTTTCACAACCCCCAAAAACAGTCAAAATAATCACCCCTGGCTGCGTGGGTCACTCCCTCTTGAGTCGGCACATGGCAGCCGATAGATCCGCTTTTTGCAAGCAGAGCTCGCGCACTCTACCCGCACGCTGCACTACCAACCGGCACCGGGATCTTCAACAAAACTCGTATGTGCCTTTGTTCACATACAGCTGCGGGTTCCCCTGTCACCGCGGCGCCGTTTCTGAGATCCCTCCATGGCCATCTCGAGTGAGACTGACCTCTCACACACAACTGGCGGGCTGCGCTTGACCTGGGGATCCAAACTCAAAGGCCCTCAAGAACCAACGGGCAAAGAAGCAGAGAAGCCGGTTGAAAAAAGAGTTGGGATCATATCGAAACCTGGACCAATAACTAGCTGCGCGTTAAAAACAAGTTGATTGGCTTTCAACACATTTCAGACTCAATTTCCTCGAGGCGTTGGCATGCCCCCTGAAGAGGCATGCATATAAGCTGACGTCGCGCAGAAAAAGCCACCGAATGCGAACGTTCTCGTTTGCGGAGAACCTTGCTGTCTGCAAGATTCGGCAAAGCATCGGGTGTTGGCAGGTTTGCAAAAACATCATGCCAGAAATCAATGCCAGCCACTCGAATGGTCCTCAGCAGCTATTTACCAGAGGTCTCAAGATTTCCTCTTTCTCTTTTTCCACCTGGTTTCTCACATGGCAGCTTCCCGAAACGGTTTTCTAGACGGGAAAGCGGTCCAAACACCAAGATCGTGAAGATGACAAAGGTGAGTTTTGAAAACGGACTTGCAAGCAATCCATGTTCCCCATGATGGAACCCTACTGAAACTGTGTGGAATAAACACGTCACATAAATGGAATGGTGGCTGCTGGGAACTGGGTTCAAGACATAGTCAAGACTTGTGCAACTCTGAAGGGCCAAGCATTCCACACGTGCAAAGGTGGTTCGCCCACTGAAGTGGAGATACATGTGCCCAGGCCACTTGGCTGCCACAAAGCCAAGCTCTTGAATCTGGCCATTGGATTGGCGGCCTCTTCCCATCTCTTATGGCTCCCATTTTTTTCCGCGAACCTCACGCACACCTTTCAGCCGGCGTTCTTTCATATATATTTTTGGGGAAGCCTGGGGGTCCGACGGGGCCCGAGGTGTCCAAAGCTGGGGCCTTCCAGCCGAGCCGTTTTTGGGCGGCCTAGGCTCCAGCTGCATCTGGCCAGGAACAACATCGGGTTGTGACACCGTGAGATTGCTAGAGCCGTAGCAATGTGCTGCTGCTTCTTGGTTACGTTGGAAGGGGAGCAAAAAAACATGTAGCAGTTAAGTGAGAATTTTGGACCAAACCACAATAAGATCAAAAATAGGAAACATGTTTCCCAACAACAACCATGGTTTGCCGTTCCCCTCATTTATCACTCGGGTTGCACCCTTGTAGGGTATAGCTCAGTTGTGCCTTTCTTGCTTGTTGGGATATGTGGTTTGGAGGCTCGGAGGGTATCCTCCCACCTGGCTTTATTAATAAAGCAATCCAGCAAGATAGCAAGCAACCGAGCACAATCAACATCAAACATACAGACACAAACAACATGATGGTCGCTTTGCCAGATCTGGGCTCCCCTGACCTACCTGGCAAATGTCCAGATCTCCCCAGGCGCAGGCAAGGACATCCTCAGAACCGGGCGTGGAGGGGGTAGGGGTCTTTCAAGGGTCTCAAAGCTACCGTTGAGTTGTTGTTAAAACACGAGGGTATGTGTCCAAGCTGGGTGTCCCTTTTGATTTCCCCCTAGTAATTACCTACTAGCAAAAAACCACACGCACACACACACGCGCGACATCCTTCTAGTTTCCCTTTGAACACCATCTTGAAGAGCGTGCCTCTTTGGGAAACTCTGGCTGGCTTTGCCTGAGAGTGCGACCCCTTCCAAAGGCCGACGACAGCCACAAGAGAACTGAAACTTGGCTTCCACACAAACATGGCAGATCGGGGTGAGGACCCGTGACACAGCTGGAGCAAAAACTACACCTAGGTCCTCTAGTCGTAAGGGTACCATATTTTTTTTCAGATTCGTCGATTTTAGTAGGGGAACCCTCCCCCAAAAAACGGTAAAAGGGCACTACTGGGATCTGGGAGACCTAGACAAAGTTAATTAGTTTTCTTGTTTGCTCAGGCCAAAGGGCGGCAATAAGAAGACCTGTTCCACCTTCAATTCCACGCCTTCTCCCCAGACACGAGTCTCATTTCTGGTGCAGATTTAGTTAACCTTTCAAGCGCAAATTCATGAAAGGCATCAGTGTTTTCTTCCTGCTGTTCAAGAGGTCAAGAGGAACCCGCCCATTTCGCAACGACGAAATGGGGGCAATTTGATACAACTGCATCAGAAGGCACGAACCAAACCCTGGCGGTTGCATTCTTTTCCGCGATCCTTTAACAGGTTGGCATTTCCCGGCGGAAATAGGAGTTGCAAGCCAACTCAAGCAAAGCCCAGTTCCCCTTTTTCAGTCCCTTGTGCAAGTGCTCTTTGATCTTCATGGGGGCTGCAACAGAAACTACCTACGCAAGGTTGCTGAGTGCAGCAGCGCGGAAAAATATGCGCTAACTCATGGCCATCCGAACGCTGGGGAATCACAGGTTGCTGCAGATCTGCACTTGATGTCGCCACCTTTTAGTAGTCAGCGGGGCCCTCACCTTTCCTTGGTTGTTGTTTGGACACATTTCACACGTTTGCTTATTCTGGTTTCGTGGTGGAAATCCCCACTTAACTTCGGCAGCTGTGAGCTCACCATGGACATCCTCAAATTGACCCGCTGGCTGGTTCGAAGGGGAATTCCCCCAGAGGTAACCTTGAGAATCCCAAAAAACATCTACATGGTCACTTTTACTAGGGGCCCCCAATCGGGTCCACGGAAGCTCCCCAGTTCTGTGCCAAGGCACTGTCTTGTTGGTGCGGGTGTTGAGCAGCTCCACCTTACCTGCCGGGTCTTAAGCGCAAGAGCGAACTTTAGAACCGGAAGCAAACCACAAGAACAACCCCTGCAAGCAAAAACATGGAACCCTCCAGGCAAGTCCCCGGCAAAAAAGGAAGATTCCTCTCACGATGGCTTTGCTGTTTCCATACTTGGCGGCGATGCACTTGTTACTGCATCGCCCAAGCACAGACTTGTTGGAGCATACATTTGGCTTTGCCGTTTGCTACGCAGATTCTTGGGGTATTGGCTGCTGGCCCGATGCCAGGCCGGGTCGCCAAGGCCAAGACGCAGGCTGGGCTTTTGGCGACATGAGAGCGCTGGATCTCAAGGGCCAAGGGGAGTCCTTGGGGATTGGCGTGCCGTTGCCAACATCCCCACCGCCGATTTGACCCAACGGGATCGAAGGAAACGAGCCTCAGGGCCAAAGGCCTGCATCGTGGGGAAGGTGTCCTGACCCTTCCTGGGAGTGTTTGCCAGAAGGACAAATATCCTATGGGAACGCACCCGTTGCGCCTGGAAAAATATGCCTATGCCTATCCCTGCCCGCCCGGCCCGGCGGGCTTCTTTCAACTTGCTTCGGCTGACGGATGTGCAGATGCCGACATGTTGCACGCTTGGTGCATGCTCAGAGGATTCTTTGGAGCGTGGCTCATGGCCCTGCGCAGCTTGACCGTTGATTGAGCCTATTGCAGATGCGACTGGTCTCTCCGGTCCTGATGGTTGCCTTTGGGGGCGGTTTGTGTCTTCCCCCCTTGCTGAGTAATCTCCATGCTTTGCTTGAGGTGTTGAGCTCCAAAACGTTATCAACGTCTACGCACCCAAGCACAGCTTGCGACAATGTAACGCAACGCAGCAAGTTGCAAAGGACAGGTGCGGTGTTGTCACATGTGGCGCATTCAATTTTTGGTGATCAAGCATATGCGATTCTGATACAACTGCTGCTGCAGTTCCAAATTGTACCAAGTTCCATGAACCCAGGAAAACATCAACCAAAATCCGATGCATCTTCAGAATAAAACTGGGGGACCTTGAGCAAGTGGAAGAACCGAATAGGGCAAACACATCACCTTGAGCAAATGAGCAAGTAAGGAGCCCCTATTTAGGGCGCTCTTTGGAGAGTGAGTGGTTTTCCTTTTGGCTTCCCGTTCATGTACCATGCTCGCGTAGGAGCCCTCAGGGTTGACGCAACCGGCGCAGTCTTGAGGCGGAGGCTGGCAGCGCATTTCTCCTTGCGCCCGATTCACCCGATTCCCATTCCTTTCTGTGAATGAACTGGTGGTTTGGGGAGTTGGACCTCTGGCTCTTCTTTGAGAGCTCGCTTCCTGAGTGGATAGGCCAATCCTCCCCCCCCCCTCCCCCCACATCGCCAGCACAAACCACCACCCCTGTTAGGGATAAGGTCAGGTGAGCTGAACCATGGCTCAAACTTGTGCCTTTAACTCACTGAAGTGGGTGGATGGGCCAACAAAGTCAAACTGTCTTTGTATACCACTAAAATGTTTTTTCTTTCCCCCCCCCCCCCGAAAAAGGATGGAGTGAGAGAAAGATACCTCCTAACCCCCCTCCCCCCCCCCAACGCCAGCACACACCACCCCCGTTTTGTTGTGGTTGTGACAGTTTTGGGGGTTGGGGTTCGGTATCTTCGCATTGAGTAACTCAACAAAAGTAGCTCACATCCTGAAGCCACGAATCCAATCCACCTAAGGAGCCCCTCGTACCCTGAGACCTTCAGACCAGACCCTCGTACCCTGACCCTCAGACCCTCAGACCCTTGTACTCACACAAAGATAGAAGCGCCACAAACCGCGTGCTTTCCAGAGGAAAGTCGTCCCCCCAGGGCATCTGCATTTCCATGGTGGGATCTTGGAGCCTTACACTCACAGTGCTCGGTTCGAGATGTTGCTGTTTCCGGAAAAGTAGCCAAGCAAAGCAGCCAAGCAGTGAAAATAATTACCCAAAATATACACCTACAAGTATAAGTATATATAGTGGGTTACAACTAGGTCCTCCAGTGGAGAGCTTAGAATAAGGGCACCCGATTTGTTTGTAGTCTATTTTAGTAGGGGAACCCTCTCCGAAAAAAGAAACGGTCAAAGGGCACTACTGGGGGACCTAGACAAGCCCCTGCTTTCCCAACAGTATCTTCCAGAACTTCAAAGTCGTGCTGAAGTCCCGGGACTAGCGAAGGGCGAGCCAAAAGCTCGCGCACCTCGAATGTCTTTAGCCCAAAAGGACCGGAACCCCAAACCCCCAGCAGGGGATAAGGGAAAGGATGTGCAAGACCAAACGTAGTTGGATTGGCCAGCCGGCAGCATTCATGAACCTGAGCAAATGATTGCAAATACCCCTGAAATGCGAAATCCCAAACTAAACCCTGAGATTGCGACTCAACTTACAGAAATGTGCCTCTAATTGGTAGAGCCCCATGTTGGCCTTCCTTAGGTGCACCCAGAAAGAAGACCAACAATGCAACTGGTGACATACATCCCTCCTTGTCAAGCGCATTGCACCCATCCACGAGGGACTTGCCGCGGTAGTCCGCGCAAAGAGCTGCAAGCCGCAAATGAACGCAACGCTGAAGCGGAGGGTTTAACAAAATGCATGACAATACACAAATCAATTGGCCACAAACAAAGGCAAGAATGGTTCAATCATGTTGCTGGAACTCAATTGCTGTAGCTTTAGGCTACCGTAGACCAAATCGCCCTCAGCTGACACCTGATGTGTAAAGTGCCATTTGAGAAAGCAAAGGCTCCCGGGGTCAGGGCAGACCCTAGAAATGCGAAAAATGGGGGCCGGGACCCGATAGGTGGCAAACAGAGATGGGCACAACCTATCTGCATGGATAGAAACGAGCTTTGGGCCCTCTATTTGGTTTCTGCTGGCAACCCGAAAAAGGGTACCGTGGTGTGACTCTCCCAACATGGGTGGGGGAACGTGCCTGATCCCTGAATCCATGCAAATGGCATGTGAGCCCCCTCCCTTGCCCACAGGCGCGCGATGGGAAGGGGCAAGCCGATGGACAAACCAACAGCAACCACTCCTAGAGGGAAGCCCTGAAGGACAAGTTCTAGGTCCTCCAGTAGAGAGGTTAGAATAAGGGCACCCGATTTTTTCTGTAGTCTATTTTACTAGGGGAACCCTCCCCCAAAATTCGAAACGGTCAAAGGGCACTGGGGGACCTAGAGTTGGTACCCCAGAAAAGCGCCCACGTGCCAACAGGCCCAGGGCTCAGCCCAAGCGTTTCAGTTGGGACAGTCGAGGTGAGTAGCTCGGTGGAATATGGTGGAATCAGACTTACCCGGTGGCTGTGGGTCAAACATAGGTACCCAAAATGGATCCCTGGTAAAAGGAAACATGGAAAAAACCCTGCGGTTTCCTGTGGTTTAAACTTTGACCCATACCCAGGCCTATTGTACGCACCCCAAAAAACACAACAATAGGTCACAATGCAGGTTGGCCACTGCGAAGAAATTTGCGCATTCTCCCTGTGACTCAGCCCGGAAATGCTGGTTCCCAGCTTGACAACCGTGACTTACTTGCTAAGCCACCTGTTCGCTGAATTTACAGGCCAAGCAGCCAACAAACAGTGGAGTGCGGCAGCTGTGAAGAACGGATGGGTGGAATCAGCTGCGAATGACTGAGGGACACTGAATGTGCTAACGCATTCTTGCAAGTCATTGTAGCTAAACCTAAGTCAAAAAGCTTTGGCAAAACATGGGGCACCCAGTTTTAGTAGATACTTGGGGGTTGAACAAAAGGCCCTTTACATGGGATGACCAGTCGGGAAACCGAACAAATGGCTTTCACCACATGTGAAAAGTTATCGTCATTTGGGGGCCCTAAATGTAATACTGTGGATGGACGAAATCCTGCACCACCTAAGAAACCCTGGAATGATGATCCCCTGTATGGTTTCAACCGTGGTCGACAGTAATGCAACCACCAGGACCCCCCAATGGCTGGCAAATGGTCTGTGGAACGACCTCCTAATGGCTGTTTTGGGGTTATTTGCCAGCCATTGGGGGCTCCTGGCACAGCTTGATTTCCACAGGAGACTCCTCCCAAAAAGAAGCAACTTAGCTTCCATTTGGTTCAGGCCCCAGGAAAAAAAATGTAGTGATGAATTCCTGTTAAGACCAACAAGGGAAACATATTCTTAAGCAAATGGAGGTTACCATTTGAAGGCCTCCTTCAGCTGAGTCCCAGGCCATCCTCGCAGCAAAGCTCGTCTATAGCGCCCACCGTCACCTGCCAGAGGCTGGAACAACCACTGTTTGATTACCCCTAAGGTAGGCTTAAACCCGAGGGTTTCATGAGTTTCATGTCCTCAAAAGGGGAATCCCGGGGTTTAAGTTTACCTTGAGGTTAGAATTAGGGTACAAACGTTTTCCTGTTTGTCTATTTTAGTAGGGGAACCCTCCCCCCAGAAAAAGGTAAAAGGGCACTGCTGGGGACCTAGTTAAGGCTGTCCCTGTTCATGGTAAGGCAACCAAACAAAAATTGTGAAAAGGAAACTTGAGCCCCAACGTGATGTCACCAAACTCTGACGTCAGATGCGCTTTTGCAACGCACTCATGCTTGCCTGCCACTGCCCACAAGAGGCACGGCTAAAGTGCTTTACGCAATACCAAGCAATCATTTCCATATATTGCACGGGTAATTGTGTACATAGACTTGATATTCATGCATGTGTGTATGGGGTAAACCGTATGATCAAAATGAAAGGCACGCCATATAGACACGCCCCTTCACTTGCAAAAGCTAGGGGTTGGACCCCGAAAGGGTAGATTTTCCCGTTGGGTTCCATTTGGACCAAGATCTCGGGCCTGTGGCTCCGGGATGAGCACGCCGCTGCCACAGCTGTGCAGGGCGCAAGTGCCTCAGTGGCATTTTTCGTGGTGGCGAAAGGCGTGGCGAAAACAAAGGGCACGTGCAAACTCCACCAATGGCCCACGTAGGAAAAGGACACCTTTGTAGGATTGACAATCTTAATGAGAAACCACCAAACGAAAAGGGAATCGACTTTGTTTGCGGAGCACCTCCCATTGACCCTTAGAACACGGGAACACTTTTTGGGAATGACCCACTTTCTGAATATGGACAAGGGACCAAACGAAAAGGCATGTGAAGGGTGTTGCCGACTAACGGACCGAGCTTTTTCTCCACCAGGGAGGACATGAAACTCGCACAGGCCTTCAGTCATGATCCCAGGCTAAAAGCTTGACTTTAGTGGGTTAAATGGAAACCACTTACCCCTTAAACCTGCAAGCCCTGGGGAAGTTCTCATCTTTTACAGACATATAGCCCATGTGTTACCCAAAAAGTTACGACAAGTTGTGTTTTTTTTGAGAGGAAAGACCACTAAACACTAAAAGGCTAGAAAGCTCAGCGGATGGCCTTCGGGAGCCACCTTTGGTAATGTGCGCGGCTTCCGCGGCTCACGGGCTCAAACATTTTCATGCTTGATTGGGTGGGAAAATTGGCTTCTAGTGCGACAGGTACAAAGCTGTCTAGAAACATCAACTTGTCAGCGCTACTGTGGATGGACGAAATCCATTTCGCACCTAAGAAACCCTGGAATGAGGATTCCCCTGTAAGTACCAACAAACAAGGGTTTCCCATGATTTCCATTTGGTGCAGGATTTCGTCCATCCACAGTACTACGCCCAAGGGCCTTTAGGCGCTGCTCGTGCGGAATGGGAAAAGGCAATGTGGCTGAGAAGGACACTCCGCGGTTCATTCGCGGGCTGCAGCAAATCAGGCGGTGATAACTCCGCTGAGCGCAAGGAATCAGGCGCAGAATGTGACAGTTCCTCCCTGCTCCTTGGGTGTCGCTTAAAAATTGTCGGCCTGATTAGATTGACAAGTGGCAGAAAACATATTTCCAGTAGTGATAGATCCCTCAAAACCAACAGGGGACAATGACAAATATTCTTAAGCAAATGGAAGCTTGGTTCCCCTTTTAGCCGTGCTCTATGCCACTAGGATTCTTAACTAGTCCAACATGGACACTTCTGAAGTGAGCAACCCCTTGACTTGTGGACGTTTGGGTCTCATGACAAGTGCACGAATGTGCACGACTGTGAATTTGCCCCTGACTGCAAATTGAATGTTAAGACCCTGCTCCAAATTAAGTAAAACAAGACAGACGCGCTTTTAGAATCTAGGGTCATATTCAGTATACCTCTGAGGTGTGGCCGGCGCTCACAAAGGAACATCTTTGGACAGCGCCCACAAGGCATACTTGTACTTGATGGCTCAACCGTCTCATACTTGAGTAGGGTATAACAAAGGCTATGGCTGGGGCAACTAGGGTTGGTTACCCTTATAAGTCTACCTCAGCTTTCCCCCCCAAAACAACGACAACTAAGTCATGTCCGGTCCATGTTGAACTTGATAGGCCTTAACATGCAACACAATGTCCAAAGGGATCACGAAAGTGGGTTGAATATCCAACGCCCGCGGTCCCCGAAATCGGACACGGTGCCACTGCAGCACACATCTGCTGTGTCGCCGATGGTCTCATTTGCATCGGGGTTCGGAGCAAAGTCGCCTCAGCGTGCAGGCCTGGTGAGCGTCTGGATGCGGACTACTCGTAGGTCCCGGACTGCGGCATTTCTCGCAAGGTCGCAGTTGCCTCTACAAAAGCATATTTCGCTGGTTCTTCAGAGCCCTGATTGTGCACGGCCCAAATTCTCCAAATCCAGAGATTGAAATTGCTTCGTGAGCCTTGAGAGCTTTCCAGTTGAACAGGTTTCAACCTTAGGATACTTACCGGGCTGAAGCTTCATTTCCGGAGCGGCGACAGCGGGGGTTGGACGTCGACTGGAAAGGCATCGATGGCTAGGAAGCAGTAGCAACCGTGTGCTAAGGCTTGCACTGCTGAAGTTGTTCAAGGGCAGATTCTGGGGGGAGAAAGACTTTACACCTTTAGAGTATAAAAGTGTTGAGCGATTCCATGAAAAGCCCTTGCTAGCTTCTATCATAAGCCTGTTTTGTGGGTGCTCTACCTGAAACGATTTCGACCCTTCAACATTCAGCATTTGAATTCCGCTTCAAGTTGTCACCAGCACTCGCCTGCTAGAGACAGTTTTTGTTGGTAGACGTTGGTAGTAACTTAGTACCCCGTGCAGTGCGGGCTGTGTGAAACAGAATCAACAAAACTTTAAAACAGATGACAGCGCATCCTGCCCCGATGCTAGTCGGCAACAGGTGCCCTTTGAAGGGTGCACCAGGTGGCCGCCTGGTGGGTGGACCAATATATGAGCCAAGGCCTTTTCTGGTGTTCCTGGTCCCGCCCGCTTAAACACTACACTTTAGTTGTGCAACTTGTTGCCTCAGAGGATTGTGCTGGCTTGTGCTGTGTAAGGGCAGACCTGCCCCAAATGCCAACCAGCACACGGTGAGACTTCCTATCGTTTGACTTGTTTTGTTCGCTTGGCTTCGCATATGCTGGTCAGCCCCTTGGGTATTTAGACAACCGCTGCAAGGGTTCCAAAGAGAACAGGACGATGCACAAATGAGCCAAGTTGATCAATAAACCCCTTGACTTGATTCATTCATCTTTGTGCTGTTTGAGAAGGGGTCCTTTACATCTGGAATGAACTCCGTAAAGATGTATCCCCACACTCACAATTTGGGGTCGACATTGAGAAGACGACTCCTGCTTACCAGACTTTAGTTGGATGGATAGGGGGCCGCTGAGCCTGTTTTTAGTCAGGTGTTTCGGGAGTTTCCCATTTGCACGCTACAAGGGGTTCAAATCCAACTCCGAACCACCAATCCATTTTCATCACCTCAGGCTTGCACTCTACAAGAAAACGTTCGAACCCCCAAACCAATCCAAAAAACTATCACCTCAGGCTAGCCTGATTTAGACGGGGATCCTGACATTATACACCTGAACATTGCCTTGCAAATGGTGGTTTCCCCTTATTTTGGTGGAAAAAGCCATGATTCAAATTGCTTTAGAGTTATATAACTTCTCCAAAGGCCAAGCTGCCGGTGCACTTCTCCTGGTACTGCACGCACTTCTTCTGGCAGCAGATCTCATCACCCACGTCCACCTGGGACGTCCATGCCGAGAAACCAATCTACTCACCCCAACGGTCCTGATGCAATTCGCCCTAAATCAACGAATAAATGCACATGGCCATGGGTCATAAACTATGTCTCCATTTTGGGGCGGATGAACACCCATGTACCACCTATTTTGATGTTCACCAGGCATTTCCTGAATTTTGACCCACAGCCATATGTCAGATTCTGGTCCATGTGAGCCTTTCACAAACGGCAACCAAAAATTGAGCTGCTTGGACTCGAGCCCTCGAAATGGGCGAATGCCGCCCTGGCCAAAACGTGATATCTGCTATGGTCAGTGGAAACACATGTTCAACCAAGAAGCTAACTGTTAAGATCCAACCAAATAGCAGCCAAGGATCCTACGTGAAGCAAGCACTGAAACAAGAATGGCACGATGTAACATAACGCAATGTTAGCCATTCGCATCTGAAAAAGCAAAGCAACGCTTGCTTTCTAAACCACCACATGACACAAACGGGAGGCAGACATTGCCCGCACAAGACAAACACTTCAAAGATCTGCCCTGTGGTTTTCCGGTAGAAGGCTCCATCCCCCTGCTTTACCAGGGCATCCGACAAAAGTCAGCTGGTACGAGTACAGGTGGTGTTTCAACTGCCGCCGGAGCCTTTCGTACAACCCCAAAACAAGTAAGCATCTACAACTTAAAACCTCCCGCACACAAACGCAAAGACAAAAAGACATGCACAAATGCAAACACAAACTCGCACATAAGTTTGACAGAAAGAAAAACACAAATGCAGACACAAACACAAAATCACACACACACACACAAACACTAATACAAACTCAAAGGCAAACACAAACACGCATAGGTGTCCTTTTTTGGGAAAATAGATGGGTTTCCCGGGTAGTTGATTGAAGCACCAGGTAAACCAGGGATCGCCCTCTATGTTTCCACCAAATCAACCAAAAAGGACACCTATGCAAACACGAAACAAACTCAAAAAAATTGAGCCACACCAGTTCGAGGGGCGAAGTTCTCGACGTTCTTCTTCGGGGCCCAGCCCACGTTACACTGGTAGATGGCGCAGGTCCGCCGGCAGCAGACCTCGAGAGAAGGGGTGGACCAGGGCAAACCATGCTGTGGATGGACGAAATCCATTTCGCACCACCTAAGAAACCCTGGAATGATGAGCCCCTGTATATAAATACCAACCAACAATGGCTTCCCATGCATGGTCGCAAAGTGGTGCAGGATTTCGTCCATCCACAGTATTTCTCACAAAAGGATGCTTTAACATGGCCCCATGGTTCTGCACTTTTTCGGCCACAGAGCCTGGAAGAAACAGCCTAAACCACGATACTGGGCTGTCCTCAGATCCCCCACTAAAAGTCTAACTTTTAGTGGGCCAAATGGAAATCCCCACTAAACACTAAAAAGCTAAAAGGCTAAGGGGATGGCTGGAAGCCACCAAGAATATGACAATATGTCCAAAACCTGAAAGAGGATTTGGATCCCCAAGAACAGAACCTTCATTGCGTGTTAGCCATACAAATTGCAGAAGGCTCGACGCTTTTGATAAGGTTTGATTGCCCTCTGTAAGGCTTGGTCATTGTGGGAGGATTGGCTTGCCATCTGCTACAAGACTTGAGTGCCCTCTACAAGGAAAAACGAGAAGCATCAAACTGATCAAACTTAGAAGAGGCTGAACAAAGGTGTCAAGTTTCCCCTTTTGTCACAAGCCCCAGTTGTCCACTGACCTTGGCAATTGGAGCAAAGAATTGGAGCACTTTATGCTGGATCGATCTCTTTCGTAGCCAAGGCTAAAACAAGTTCAGCGGGATGTTGGGCTCAGTGGCGCCTTTCTCTTGGATGCACCTGTTGCTTTTTTGATACAAGCCCCCGAGCAATAAATCGCACCTTTTGCCAGCTCACTAGCTGCAAGTCCAAAAAAAGCTTCAAAACGATCTCAGGAGCAAAGGCCGTGTCAAAAACAAGTCATGACTCGGTTGCTTTCGGTTGCTTTCTGCTCCCCTGCTAAAACCTTAACTTTTAGTGGTTTAATGCAAAACCCATTGGTTGGCAAACAGTTCAAGTCCTAACATCCAAGCAACATGCACAAAGACTACCTGCCACCGTCATCATGTAGAACGAATCTCCAGGACCACAAAGCCCACACCCCCCCCCCCCCCCGGTTCAGGCGCCGGCCTCATCAGTGTTGCCAAACCGCGCCGCCTGCAAAAACCGAAAAATCGGCCGAAAGGTACCCCGAAAAGAGTGAGCCTCGCCATGTTGAGTGCAGTTTCAGTACGTTTCTAGGGGAAGCTTCTCCATTGTTTCCAGGGATCCTTCCTTTCAGGAAACCATCAAACCCCGCAGAAAACAGCTGGTGTTTGAAATGAAGGATGGTTGAAAAGAATGGGGAATCAACCCCCAGAATGTTTCAGTCTCCAGCAGCTACATACTGCATGCATGATTCAGGGGTTCCTTGAAGCAGACCCTGAGCTGGGCTCACTTCTGCTTTCCTTGCCCAGTTGCCACGGGAAAAAACGTAAAGCCTTTGTGCTTCTTGACATTTAAAGGCGGAAGCCCGCCAACAAACGGGCTTCATGTTTAGCCCCCCTGAAAGGACTTAAATGCAAGGGCTGGCGGAACCCTGAACAAGAATGAACAACTGTACATTCGCATCTGATTGCAGAATGTGGGTGCCTGGGCGCAAGATTCCAAGATCTAACATGCTGAAACAATCAAGGGAAACTGGATGCATAGCTTTTTTGGAGGAAGGGGGTCAGGTGCTTCAGGTGCCACGAATCAATAGCATATCCACATTCATTGTGGTCACTTGTCACCAGGGATGTCGGACAGCGTCTTCTGAGGCCAAAGCACCAGCTTGGCATGCGGGCAGCTGCAACACACACACACACAAACGCACAAACGCACGCACGCGAACTCGTACTCGCTCGGACGCACTCGCGCGCACGCATTTCGCACGCACATACACAAATGGAAGGAGCACTTATTAGTGAATCGTGGTGGCTTCGAAATCGCCTACTTTCTCGGAAGTAAAGCAAGTTTCATTTTTGAACACTTTTAAGCAAACACATCGGTAGCGGTAGCGTGCAAGCCTGCGTGCAAAACCGCTCACTGCCCGACACCCACGCGTGAAAACCAGCTTGGAAAATGACAGTTCTCAGCAGTGCTAGGCTTTGGACATCCAGGCTGTCTAAGCATCGAGCCCGGCCCTACCTCAGCTGCTGAACCTCAAAATGTCAACTATGTCTTAAACTCGTGTAAACATTTGGAGAAGCAAGCCCCAAGACTCCGGTGCTTCCCACAACTCCTGTTGCATTCTGCTCCAATACATTTCCATGCTCTCGCCCCAAAGCTCCCCCCCAACCCCCTAAGTGTCGGGTTAAAGGGAAACAACCCCATTGTCTGACTTTGATAACCCCAAAAATCGTCAAAATAATGAGCCCACCCCCAAGCCCCGCCGCCCCCCCGCGCCTTCAAAGGGTCTGCCTGATAGCCCTTCCCACAGCTGTAGCCCCCGCACAAAGTGTCGCAGCACTCGGCTGGGCTGCTGCCCACCTTGCGTTCCTGCGCGAGGGGCGCGGATGCTCAGGTGGGCTCAGCGGAATACTGTTGACCCCGGATGAATACACCCGGTTTGTGAATATGGGTATTATTGAACCGAGGTTTATTAATCCGGGGTCAACAGTATTCAAGTTGGGCTCAGCGGAATTTCGTGGGGTGCCCAAACCCTCTCCAGTTTCAGGCGTTCGTCACTCGGTTCATTCACATTGATCAACCACTAAACTTGGAGGGTTCATGACAAAGCCCTCAAAGGAAGCGCGAAGAGAAGTGATGCTCAAATGGTAAACTTCCAAAATGAAGGCCCGCTGCATGCTCAGGTGCGACAAGATAATCGATTGCCTTAAACATTGCAAGTTGGCAAACAAGAGAGGTTCATAGAAACCACACAAAGAATCCACCATATCGCCGCAGGTCGCCCTGTTATTAATCAGGGTGTCTCCTGGAAGAGTGGACACCCCACTGAAAAATGGACACCCCTTAACAGTTGGGGAGTTTTACTAATCAGGGATCAGCACAACAGGGAGCCCCGAAAAAGATTTGCTGCAGGTGCTTTTATGGTTTCCTTTCATAACCACCCCCCCCCCCGAGAAGAAAAACAACAAAAACAAAAAAAAAACGACGAGCCGCCCAAAAAAAACAGCCGCCCCCCAAGCCCCCAAGCCAAAAAACACCAGGGGCACCCTCCAACAAACGGAGGACGGCTCGCCGGGCTCATGAGTCACTTGCTCAAAACCGATTCGGTACTAAAATGGTCGATCCCCAGAACCATGCTTCAAGAACTAAGAAGGCGGATATCCGCAGCTAATTATTTCTTTTGTTGGGATCGTCCTTTACTAATTAAGCTTCATCTCCCCGAATCTTTTTTTTCTTCTTTTCGCACGTGGCTCAAACGGAAGCTTCCGGCCACAGCCGCGAGGCCGGCCGGGCCGCGAAGCCGTCGGGTCCTTGGAGGCCGGCACCTTGGCCCCGGCGGGGCAGCTGAAGGCGCCGCAGGTGCTCTTGCAGCACTTGGCGTCCGAGGGCTCCGTGAGCTGCAGGCCTCGGAGCTCGGAGCTCGGAGCGAGGGCTCGGCCGAGGTGCGTTGAACCCATGGGATTTGTGGTGGGTTCGTTGGGAGGAAGCCGTTTGAAAGCCCCCCACCCCATTTTTTGTTGGAAGAAAAGGGGCGTGAAAGTAAACCTGTCGGTTATGGGAAATAAACCTATCCAAACAGAGGTGTTGGCAAGTGGGGGCGAGCAAGCGCGCCGGTGGAGTGGGGGGCGTGCACAAGGGGGGTCGCTAATGGCGGGTTGTTGTTTTGTTGGTTGGGCGTTAGCATCCAGTTCTCAGTTGCCTATTTGACTTTGCAGCCAGGATCCCTACAAACCAAGTACCTACAAAAAGACTGCTAAACTACAAGTAAAGTAAGTTGCAACATAGACCCCAATTGTCCGCCATGCCATTGAAACGCTCGCTTCTTTCTTTCCTCATCCTTCGTCAGATCTATCGGCTGCTGCGCAAGTCGGTGTCGCGAGCTCCTGGTGCAGGAGGCGCCACTTCGGCGAAACCCGCGGTGAGTGATGATCAAAGTGGGTATGTGTCCCTTTACGGTTTCCATCAAACCAACCTGAGAAGGGTACCCTGAGAAAAACCCGGACACCCAAGCAGGATCTGCCTTCTTGGTTTTGGAGTCTAAAACAGGTTGGGAATCAACCACAAATCGTGCGCTTTGATCAAAACAAGTTGAGGGTCCATGCGAAAACCAAGTGATCAAACACGGGAGCAGGGAAAAACAACAAGGACTGAAACCACCAGTTCCCACGGGCCGGGGCATACATGTTTGACTTGCATCTGCCTCCTACAAAGAGTTCTTCCCTGGACACCGTCACTCGCAGATTAGGTTTATAGGCAGCGCATTGATGACAGCCAGAAGGAAACCTGCCCAAGTGCCTAAACACCTTGGTGCAAAGACCCCCGTGATTGATCATCCCCTCCTACGCCTTTGAAAAGGCCATGACAAATAACCCCCATGGATTCCCATCTCATTGCACCAAGCCCGAGTGTACCATTACCTCACCTGTTGCCCCCTTTAGTGAGTCTTAAAAATGCAACATGTATTAAACTTGGGCGGTCCGAGGTCCTCAAATCCCCTGCTAAAAGTTTAACTTTTAGTTGGTCAAATGGACCCCCCCCACTAAACACTATCAACCTAATAACCTAAGAAGACGGCTGGGAACCGCCAAGAAAATAAATCCCGTATTCGAACGATCATGCAGGACATGAAGTTGCAATCAGCCAAGTGGTAGGCTCAATAGAGAGACACCGGCCCTTTCTCCGCCTTTGACATCAAAAGAAATTAGCTGTGGGGAATCAACGAAAAAGGCATCCGCCCTCCAAAACCATACAAAACACTGAGCTTCACAACCCTCGTGATGCAATGATGCGGTACCCAACACTCTTGGCTCGGCATATGCAATCCAACCGTTTCCAACTAGTGGCATCTGAGCCACAATCAACACCCAGGTAGATGAAGGTTAGCAAGCAGTCCCAGCCAGAAAAAGGTGCGGCCGTCTTTCCCTTCCATGGATTTGGGTAGACTATTACAATACCAGGTGTTGATCGTGACTCATCTATTGACCCCTCTGCAAAAACAGTTCAACTTTTTCTGCGTCCAACGGAACATCCTCCAGTTTCCCCCCAAAAAAAATAAAGTCCAAAGACCCAACCAAATAGCCACGAAGTTCTAGCGACCGGCGCAAGATCCAAACCACTTCCGCCTGAAGGCGCTGAAGGATCAGCCGCTTCCGGGTGCTGGGCACCGGTGCTAGGCGCTGGTACCGCAGGTCGTTGGCCAGGCTCTCGCCTGAAGCAAGCAGCGCGGAGGGGGGATGGGAGGGGATGGGGGAGGGGGGATGGGAGGGGCGAGGATGGAGGACGAGGGTGGGGGGAGGGGTTGCGGGGAGGGGATGGGGGGAGGGGATGGGGGAAGGGGGGAGGGGATGAGGGGTGGGGTGTGGGTAGTATGGTCCCTGGTACCTGTACAAACTCCCTTGGTTGTTTCTGGGTCGGAATCGATTGGTGGATATTCATGAGAGTTGCACCCCACAGTAAAGCCAGGCTGGTGAAGAGGTTTTCCTAGAAGCTTGGCCACTTATTGCAATTTGGTTTACAGCACGGAGGCGTTCAACTTAAATGAGTTAAGCTTCAACCAATCCGTTGGGCCGATGTGGTCAATCGTGCAGATCTAACAATGGAAGTCATGCATGAAAGAAATGCGCGCGCGCACACACACACACACCATTCCCATTCCGGTTTGGATGCGGCGATTCTGTGCATCGTTTTCTGGAGGGGCGTCGTTGGCATTGCTTGGCAACAAATGGCCTAGCTGTGGTTTACTTAACAACCAGGATGCCACAAAGAAGATGTCCACACAACAAAGCTTGCTCTTACATTGACCCTGACCTTGCAACCAATTTGTGTTTTTTTTAGAGGGGAATTTGTCAGTTGGTTGAGGGCTAGTTTACGGTCGGTCTAGCGTTGGTCAGGCGAAATCTAGTTGAATTCTACTAGAGGTTTGTATTGGAATGGCCGCTTTTGGAGGCTCCACCAAGGGAAATGGATGAGACTCTGGTTGAAGGGCTGGGCAAGTTGGGTTTAGGGCAAACCCGAAGCCGAGCTGCAGAAGGCTTCGAAGGCGGGCCCTTCCGTCGGCACCTGCCAGGAATGACTTGAAAGGTCCCCGCTTTTGGAGGGGATTTCTCCACCTTCTTTGCGTGTTACTCGTTACCCCCCCCCCCCCCCCTGGAATACCGCAAATCAAGCAATCCCGGGGTCATGAGTGATTCACATGGGGACACTGGGGCTTGCAGCTTTTTCTTGCCTTCACAAGGGACGCCAAAGACAAAAATTGAAAAAGGGGTGCACATCCACTGAGAAGCTGGGGAACCACCGTTCAGGATGATGACGTGATGGCAAGCTCAATGCTCATCTTTCCCTATCTTGCCTCAATCGGGATGTGCATGACTGAGAGCGTGCTAGCCTTAACCCAAGTTTCAAACCAAAAAGGCAGCAAATGCTCAAAAAAACCGGCCCGTTCACAACATATATATATATATATATATATGTGTTGTGGACGGGTCTCTTCGCAAAAGCAAATGCTCAATCCCACAACCACGTCCCTTGACGAAAGGCTTAGCGAACCTCCGCACCCTGGACCGCACATGGCCTTTCATACAGCACCGAGGGCACCTGAAAGTGTTTTCTTTACTCAAGAGATGCCGCGTCAATGTGTCAATGGAAGGGAGGGTAGATGTCCCCTCCTTGCGCGTTCAAACTGCGTGTGCACGATGCCCCTCCAATTGTGTCAATCTTGAAGCCCCCTTCTTTGGGGCTGTCTTAAAGCCCTAGAGGGTTTGACCAAGGCCTTTGATGTCATAACAAATCCACTCTTCGCCTACCAAGTTGGCCGACGATCGCCGCACGCAGCTTATAGTTGGAGGGTGGCCACGCTGCGATCGACATGGGCCGTGGGCCTTCATGGCCCGAGTCTAAAATGGAAACCTCCGAAGTGGGAAAAAACACTTTGTCCAAAGCATCGAAAAAGATTGAGTGCTTAAGGTCGGCAGAAGGTTCTTTTGCTTGGGGCCACTTACAAGGACCTCTCGTCCCTTGCCATGGGGCCATGGATGAACAAAAAAAACAAACTGAAGGAAGACATGGACTCCCCAGAAAGAAGGCTCTATCATGGGATACAGGGGGTTGCAACTGTGAGGCCGCTGCGATCTGCACCAAACACTCGACCCCTCCCATCGGCCATCCAATGAGGTAAACACCAAAGTCCTGGCTTCCACAGGAAGCCAACATGAGGTTGTTTAAGTGGATTGAACCAATGGAAGCAAAACGTTGGCCAAGCAAATTGTTGGAAAGAGATTAACAAAGAAAACTAAAACATTAAAACAACAACACACAGTTGCTGTGTGAAGGTATCATTTTGGGTTTGGAAAAACGGGGGAGCCCAAGGGAACCCCTCCTTTGGAGAGCACCGGGACTCTTCGGCTCCTGAAGGAACGCCAAGTGGTTGTTTCAACCTCCAGGGGGGGGCTATTTCTGGATAAGCCGAAGCTCTTAAGGTTTTTGGGGGGTTGATGAGAGGGAGTTCCCCTCCCCCCTCCTCAGCCTGCCCCCCTCCCCACAGGTCCAGGTTGACCATCTCCAAAACCGCCTGCGCCGAGAGCAGCTCACTCTGCCGCAGCCAAGCTTTGAACTCCTCCTCTGCCTCTGTGAGACGCCAGCGCCGCCAGTCCTGCGAGAGAAAGCATAGGGACCACAGCTAGCCTGGGTGCAAAGTAGGGCGGCTGGAAACAACTACCCTCCCACCAGCTAACATGGCAACTCACAGAGGGTCCCTCCAAGAGGAAACTGGTCTTCCAGGTGCCCTCCCACACTTTTGCTTTCCTTTCGATTCTTCCAAAAATATGGGAAATTATTTGAACTCCAGTTGCGCAACAAAACATAGTGCCACAAGCACTCTTTTGACAATCAAGCGGCCACGGGTGAATTAAAACAAGGCAGGTGCTTTGAAACCTCCAAATTTGCTCAGCTTCTCGTTCTGTGGCAAAATGGCACTCCTCGAAAGCGCCCTTTCTTCATGCCAAGAGGTCTCGGATTCCCCCACAGGGAACCTCGAAAAGGGCCCGACCAAATGAGATTCCTCCAATGGGCACTCGCATAGAATATAACCCATGTTTTGGTGTTCACTACTTTTAGTGGGCCCCAAACCCACCAAACAAAACGGGAACCACAAGTGCCACTTAACAACTGAAGGGGTGGCGTTGTGTTCTGCCTGTAAAAAGGGACATCCGTGTATTCATAAACCAAGGGCTGACTCCCATCGTCCCCATTGAAGTTGTGGATACGATTGTGGACAATTAGGAATTTCTGTGCTACCAAAGTGGGATTCCCATTCCCACCATTGTACATATATACATACATATGTACATGTATATGTATGTATACATACACGCATACATAGACATGTGTATACAAATGGATGCATATATA